TTTGTTTGCTGGGGCTGCCATAATAAAATATGACAGACTTGATGACCTAAACCATGGAAATTTGTTTTTTCACAGTTTAGAGGCTAAAACTTTATGATCAAGGTGTTGGCAGGTTTGGTTCCTCCTGAGGCCTCTCTGCTTAGCTTACAAATGACCTCTGTCTAGTTGTGATCTGACATGGTCTTTTCTCTGCACCCATCCATCTTTGGTGTCTCTTTGCCCAAATTTTCTCTTCTTATAAGGACCCAGTCAGATTGGATTAGAGCCCACCCTACTAGCCTCATTTCAACTTGATCGATGCCTGAAAGGCCCTCCCTCTAAGTACCATCACATTTTGAAGTGCTGGGAGTTGGAGCATAACATATGAATTTTGTGGAGATAGAATTTAGGAAGACAGAGACGAATAGAAAAGGTTCTTGTGGCCCTGGCCGGTTTTGTTCAGTGGTTAGAGCATCGGCCTGAGGTCCGGAGAGACCCAGATTCGGTTCCCGCTAAGGGCACGTACCTCGGTTGCAGTTTGTCCCTGGCCCTGGTGGGTCGTGAGGGTGGCAGCCACTCAATGTTTCCCTTTCACATCAATGTTTCTCTCTAGCTCGCTCTCTTCCTCTCTTTCCCTCCCACTCTATCTGAAAAAAAAAAAAATTGAAAAATGTCCTCAGGTGAGGACTTAAAAAAAAAAAAAAAGGTTTTTGTGGCCCTGGCCAGTTTGGCTCAGCGTTGAGCATCAGCCTGCGGACCAGAAAGTCCTGGGTTCAATTCCCGCTAGGGGCACATACCACCAAAAAAAAAAAAAAAAGGTTCTTGTGTGTAACTGTATTCCCTATCATATAAAATTAAGAATATTTAAATTAAATATAGAATAATATTTAAGCCTTGGCCGGGTGTCTCGGTTGGTTGGAACATTGTTTTGTACACCAAAATGTTGCAGGTTTGATTCTGGTTAGGGCGAGTGTGGGAGGCAAGACGGATTTTTTCGTCTCTCTCTCCCCGTTCCTCTTTATTTAAAAGTAAATAAAAATATATCCTCAGTTAAGGATTAATAATAATAATAATATTTAAAATAAGCAATGGTTAGCAATCACCTAGATCCACATTCTCATCCAGATCAAAAGAAACCCTTACTCCAGTATTTAAGGCATACTTCTTGACTCTGCCACTGAAACCTGATAGTTTCTATAAACATGATCTCTATCAAAAGGCAGAAAATATAAAAATTCAGCCCCAGTGTGTCTGGTCTTGACTGATGCTGAATCCTAACACCTCTGGTTAATGAATCTTCACTTCTGATTTAAATCTGTCATAGTTAAGATATTGAGTTCTTATAGTTGGCTAGTTCAAGGTGAAAACAATATAATTTATTTATAACACATGGCTCATGGTCTTACATAATCTAGTAGGACCTAGTAGAATCAGAACTTCACTCACATAGATTAAATAGAAAATAATTAAGGGGTGTAGAAGGTCAGAGAAGGGCTAGATCATTGAGGGACAGTGTCATCAGATAAGGCTTCAAGGAGGAAAGAAGACTTCATGTTGACCTCAGAATAGAAGAAAGAGCACAATGAGGGAAAACACATGAATTAAGAAGAGTAGTGCCTGTACGATGGTCTGTGAGAAGACTGGCTTTACTGGGAGCAGCATGTCTGTGAAGGAGGGGTGATGGTGAAGGCAGATGGGTTGGATGTGGCCAATGTAAGTAGGGAAGTAGGCTCTTTATAAAACTTGGCCTCTGTGGATTTGACACAATAGACATTGATCACAATAGATCATGGCACAGATAGAATTTAACATGAATAAGGTGATGTTTTATTTTTTTAAATTTATCTTTATTGTTGAAAGTACTACAGATGTCCTCCTTTTTTCTCATGTTGTCACCCTCCTCCCCACTTCTGTTCCCCCCACCTTCCTTCACCACACTGTTGTCTGTGTTCATGGGTTGTGTATACATGCATCTAAGTTCTTTGGTGCATCGCTTTGTATACCCCCAACCTTATTCCCTCTGAGGTTTGTCAATCCATTTTGTACTTCCATGTCTCTGGATCTATTTTGTTTGTCAGTTTATTTTGTTCATTACATTCCACGTTATGTGAGATCATGTGATATCTGTGGTAAGTGGTATTTTAAAATGATTTAAGCCATCATTGAAAAATGAAGAAAAAGCTAATTAGAGGCAGGGGAAGGGAGTAGGGACTACTGTAATAATTGATAAGTGTGAGGACAAACCTGTAACATAATGAGAATAGATCCAAGGAAGAGATGACAATAGTTATTAGAATGATGCCGTCTGAAACTGGGAAGCAAGAGGAGAGCCTCAAAGTCGTTCACTAGATGACTGAAAGGATGGTGGTACCCCTGAGAGAATCACTAGATGACTGGAAGGATGGTGGTACCCCTGAGAGAATCACTAGATGACTGGAAGGATGGTGGTACCCCTGAGAGAATCACTAGATGACTGGAAGGATGGTGGTACCCCCTGAGAGAATCACTAGATGACTGGAAGGATGGTGGTACCCCAGAGAGAATCAGGAGTAGCTGGAGATTAGAACTGATTATGAGAGGACAAGGCCTCCAGGTTCCATTTTGACCACATGGAGTTTGAGGTAATAGTGAGGTATTTCAGTAAGTACAGATGATAGGTGATTGGAAGTTCATGTGTCAAAAAGGCAGATCAGGAGATTCGTAAGGATTCAGGCAATGTTCCTATCAGATAACTCAACTGATTTTATCTACCTGTAAGAAAAAAATACATATACGTGTCCTAGAGATTCTGATCATTGTCCAAGAGACACACTCTGAGGAGCAATTTTTATAAGAGAAATAGCTCAGGCTCAGCTTAACAAACAATGTATCTCTGCCTCAGACAACCTCATACTTGCTTTCAAATATCCAAGTTCTACCCAAGTCAGATTCACTGGAGGATTTATTCTCTGACTCATAATCCTATTAACAGTGACAGTTATGAAGGATGTGGGAAGTGGAAGTTGGCCTCTGTGTTTTATCAACAGTCTTCATCAGAAGGGAAGCAAGACAACACAATGTTTGGAGAAAGAGACAATTCATTGCAAATGAGAAAAGGGCCCTAATGTCCACTGTGAATTATTCTTGTCCAAGACTAACTCATCTGTTACCTCCTTCAACTCCCCTTGCCTAAGCTTGTCAAGTTGACTCCAGATAGAACAAAGGTCTCTTTTTATTTGGACACAAATTTAGGTTACGTGCAATAAATCATGTCGAGTGATTCTGACATACTTCTTGGTTCTGGACAGGACCATGAGGATGATATTCTACAAAGAAGGCCTAACCTTCCCACACAGAGACATATACTTGTCAAAGGACTGGAATGGCCTCCAGGGCTTTTTCAAGCACTTTGGAGACAGACTTTGGAGAGTGGGGCAGATAATAAAAAGAAATCCAAGTAACAAGCAGACAATGAGAATGGTTGTCTGCCAGGGACATGCAGGTGGGCAGATGTTATGTGAACCCAACAGCAAGATATAATATGTTCAAACAAGCAATGTCGAGTAGGTCTGACAGCAGGTAACAAGGACTCTGCTTTAAGAACTCGAGTGCAGCCCGGCCGGTGTGGCTCAGTGGATTGAGCATCATCCCATGGACTGAGAGGTCCCAGTTCAATTCTTGGTCAGGGCACATGCCCCAGGGTTGTGGGCTCAATTCCCAGTACGGAGCATGCAGCCAATTGATGTTTCTCTCTCACATCGATGTTACTATCTCTCTCTCTCTTCCTCTCTCTCTCTAAAAAAAAAAAAAAATCAGTAAAAACATTTTTAAAAGATTCAGGCATAGCAGTGTGTATACTGGAGGTCATCAAAGGAAAGGCAATGCCCAAGGACAGTGGCAGAGAGAGGGGATCAGCAGAGATTCAGGAATGGGGACACAAGACATCAGACCACACCCTAGAACTAGGGAACAGGCAGGGGTTTGGTCTCAAGCTAACAAGTTTAGTGATTTGATTACTGAAAATGAGGCTGAAGGGGCCTGAACAACATGGCTTACATGACTAATAAATCAATTTATTGATCATGATAAAATGTTTAAAAGAATAAGATAAAGAAACTAGTTCACTAACATTTTGTTAGCCATCTAGTCCCCTTCCATCAAGCATTTTCTTTAAAAAATTTTTTTGCAATTACAGTTTATATTTAATATTATTTTATATTAGTTTTAGGTATACAGCATAGTGGATATATATATATATATATATATATATATATATATATATATATTTTACAGTGTGTTCCCTCTGATATTTTCAGTACCCACCTGGCACCATACAGAGTTATAACAATATTATTGACGATATTTCCTACGCTGTATTTTACATCCCTATGGCTATTCTGTAACTACCAATCTGTGCTTCTCAATCCCTTCACCTTTTTCACCCATCCCCCAACCCCCTCCTATCTGGCAGCCATCAGTCTGTTCTCTGTATTTGTGAGTCTGTTTCTGTTTCATCAATTTTTTCTTTAAACAATAAATCATCTATTTATCTTTACCCCTTTTAATGTTGACTATATTTTCAAAAAGTCATTCCTAACTAAATAATTTTAAATAGTCTCCAGAGAAAGAAAGACAGGTTGTTGGCTAAGCACTGGGCTGAATCTCTCCCTTCGTAGGAGTATACACATTTTATTTCTCGCAGCCTTGTAAGTGCAGGCTCTAGTTTCTCACCCATAAAGCTCTGCATGATCAGGGCAGTGTAGATGACGCAAAAACTGTTAATAGATGATGTCTACCATAAACCTGAAGTAGGAAATGGAAGTGTTTCCAAAAGAGAAGTATAAAATAGAAGAAGAAGAAAAAGGTAGATAGAGGACTGTCTTTGTGAAGGGACATATTTCAGAAGAAATATAAAACCATTGTGGGGCTCTTAACTACTTACATTTGGATTGGGGGGGGCAGGACATTTTATCCTGCTGATTGGTGAAAGAAAGAAGAATATGTTAAATTGAATTAAATTTGTAAAACTTTTCTTTGCTCAGAACCGGCTCCTCCAAAGTCACTCTTTGCAGTGAATAAAACCCAGACTTCAGTGACTTTGCTGTGGGTGGAAGAGGGGGTAGCTGATTTCTTTGAAGTCTTCTGCCAACAAGTTGGCTCTAGTCAGGAAACCAAACTGCAGGTACTGTACATGTTGATTTTCCTTCTCTGAGTTCATTTTGATTAAGGCTAATTCGCTGAGCAAAATAAAGATATTTATTTCTTTGAACTATAAAAAATGAAAACTGTTCATTTATGCTTTTGTGTTTCAGGAATAGAAATTAAACAATATACTTAGTTCAAAATATGTCATGAGAATCAAGTTACTAAATCACCAAGTTTATTTTCATCTTGCCCTAAACCTCAGCCACTCTGGTTCATACTAAAGATATAGAGTGGTTCACGTTGTGCCCTGGCTGGTGTGGCTCAGTTGGTTGTGCATCGTCCCGTGTACCTAAAGGTCACTGGTATGGCACATACCCAAGTTGTGGGTTCAATTCCCAGTTGGGGTGCAGGGGAGGGTGAACAGCCAATTGATATTTCTCTCTCACATCAATGATGTGTTAAAAATCAATAAAACATATTTTTAAAAATAATAAAGTGGTTCACTTTTCCTACTGGACATTAAATTAATTGAAAGGTGAAGACACTGCCTTATACAACTTGATTTAACCAACATGAACTGATTGCCAGTTTTGTGGGAGTCACTGTATGGAACACAAATGGTAGAATTAACACTTGCCTTCAAAAGATTTTTTTTTATACAGTTGTGGATATTGCCTTATTCTAGAAACAATTAAATTATAACAAATGTCACAAGAGACATCCAGATTGTAAAGAACTGGAAAGCAAAGTCCATCTCTAGTTAGTACGGAGGCTAATTCTGTCGGAGGAAATGAAGGGTGGGGGAGGGGATCCTTAGAGCTGTGGGATCCCAGACAGCAGAGATGATGAATACTGAGTTGTCTGCCGGCTCAAAATGAATGGATGGAGGGAGATGAACCAGCAGCTCTCAAGGTAGCAAAGCCCTGAGAGAAAAAGACATTTTACAGTCACATGTGGGAGGAAAGAGACAGGTTTGTGAGGGATGTCACGAAATACAGTGTATTGACGAGTGCTCTGAACATGAATAATTGATGTCTTCAAATAATGAAGTTCCTGAGATTGAGAAGAAAAAGGATTTCTGGGAGTACAAATCTTTTCATACTGAATATTAAGATAATTTGCTTTATTCCTTTCCCCTTTCGAGATTCCCTTCTGGTAACTTATCTCTTTTTGATCTCTATAGAACAGCTGAATCTTTTTTCTATTCTGAGAATCCTTTTTGAAAATAACTGCTCTGCCAGTAGTGGATTATTTTCTGTTTGCAACCACAGTAGTATCTTCCTTTAAGAAAACAATGGTCAGGTTGCTATTTACTACAACTGAGTGTATGCAGAAGTCTTTCCTTAGAAGCATTCTTTCGTAGGGTGATGGAGATGGAGGTGGGAAAGAAGTACTGACGCCTTTCGTGTTTTTAGGTAGAGTCTGGTTGCACTGGCCCTTTTTCATACTGTTTGTCACTGGTCTGACTGTTGCCTCACCAAATCAGCAACTTGTTCTATGTAGAATAGGTTAATTAAATATTCGTGAGAATTCGAAGTTGCTCTGCTTTTGGCAGATGCTATTTAGAGCTGGGAATGCACCCAAACGGGGTGGTGTCCTTAATATTCCAAGAACTCCTACAAATAAACAAGATAGAGACCAACAACTCAAAGCAAATATTTCACAGGAAATAAACACAAAAGGCTCTTAAACATATATAAAGATGATCCACCTCACTCGTGGTGAATGAAATGCAAAATAAAATTACAATGAGGTATGATTTCCGCTAATGAGATTGGAAAAGCTCAAGGAGTTTGCGAGACACTGTGAGAAGTAGACAGGGAACCCGACATTGTCAGACATGGACGGTACATAGAAAACTTGGGAAAGTCTATGGAGGGCACTTTGTCAATATTTTTCAAAATTAAAAATACACAGCTTTTGACCCAGCGATCTAATTGCTAGCAATATGAAAATATGTATACCTGTCCTGTGTGTTTGCAGACATAACTGTGAAATTATGTTCACTGTAGTACTGCTGATAACTTGATTTTCACCGCTCTCCTTTTTCGTCTTTTCAATTTTTTACTGTCCCTACATTATCAACTAAACTATGAAACATTAAAAAAATCAAAATGAGTGAAGATTGCATAACATTTACTTTACTTTCTGCATCTCCAGGAACCAATTGCGGTCTCTTCTCACGTTGTGACCATCTCCAGCCTACTTCCCGCCACTGCCTACAACTGCAGCGTCACCAGCGTCAGCCACGACAGCCCCAGCGTCCCCACATTCATCACCGTCTCCACGATGGGTAGCTACATGCACCAGGGGAATCTGGTGTCTTTAAAAAGCTATATCTTTCCAAAATTGTCTTAAATTTTCTTTTTAAAGATATCTAAAGTACCCTTTCAATGGAACCCATGTTTATTCTATTGAAAAATTCCCAGCTTTGAGCTCAGGGCATGCTTAGTTTCAATCCCTATATGATTAGGGGAAGATATTTACTATCTCTAAACCTCTTTTTTTTTTTTTAATCTGCAAAGCTAGAATTAAAATATGTACCGTGTTGCATTTTTCTGAGGCTTAGAAATAAAGGACACGAAACCCTAGACAGGCTGTCTAAATGTCCATTGTTATCAATTTCATGGACTAATGGCAAGAATCACTAACTGGGTCAGAGCAGAAAAGTTTGCAATGAAGCAGAAACTATAAGTGGGGAAATTTAAAAGTAAGGGAAGCTCTAGAATAATGCTCTTTCCATATTCTTTTCCTGAGTTATACGTTTTATTCCTCTGTTTGTTAGAGTCTGATCCTACCATCTGAGATCTTCTCTGCAGCTGCCTGTGATAAAACCACTCACATTACCCTTTACTGGACCCATTTTATTTCTGTAACATTTGTCACATATTTAGACACTGTATCCAATGACGAATAGCATGGATTTGTTTGTTTGTTTGTTTTGTTTTTGTTTGTAATATCTTTTTTTTAATTGATTTGTTTTGGATAGAGAGGAAGGGAGAGGGGGAGAGAGATAGAAATATCGATGAGAGAGAAACATCAATTGGTTGCCTCCTGCATGCCCCCCACTGGGGATTTGACCCACAACCTGAGCATATATCCTGACCGGGAATTGAACCAGCTACCTCTTGGTGCATGGGTTGACGCTCAAATACTGAGCCACAGTTGCCAGGATGTTTTGGTTTTTAAATTTTTTTTTTTTTTTTAGAAGAGAAGATAAAATAGACTTGAGAAGTCTATCAATGGTCTCTCATTTCTACATCCTTTTACGCTCTTCTAAGTATAATTTCACATTGATTATTCCTTGTCATCTCTACAACAAGCCAGCGAAGCAGTTGATATTATTAAACTTCTTTGCAAATGAGTTCCAGAAAGACAGATAAAATAACCTCCTCAAATGGCAGTTAGTAGTCAAGTGAACCCTGCTCAAGTGCTCTGCTCATGACCCGGAGCCACATTGTCCCAAGTGGGAAGTGGCAATACCCAGAGACTTAGGGATGGTATATGCCAACCAGTTTTGTGATTTTATCATTTTAGTCTTCTCCTTTGGTCCACTGTTAAGAGTTTTATAAAACATTTGACATATCCCACCTTTAATATCCTGATATTAGGCATTGTGTAAGTGCCATGTAGAATGATCAGCATCTAAAGTAGATGAACAGGATACATCTTAGTGCCCTATAATGTATTAATAGGTTTAATCTCTTGAGTTGTACAGATGGAAAACCTCTCAACATATGGTTACAGATCATCAAAATGCCTGCTTCCAGCGATGTGTTAAATGCTGTAGCAGATGGTGGCTGGCTAATGCCTTTTTCATATACATTATTAGTTTTAAATGAAATATACAGTTGTGCTTTCTCACTTTAAAGTCATGGGCCTTAAATAAGAACGTGCAAGCTTCTGATGTTAAAGAATGAAAATATATGATGATGACTTCTAGATATTTTTTTTGTTTTCAAATGAATTTTAACCATGTCACAGGAATTACTCACAGTTTATAATTTCCCTTTATAAGAAAATCCAAAATGTAGGCCTTAAATACTTTTTATCAATCTACTAATTTGCAGTTGACCAGGAAGAGGTCATGTCAGCTTGGAGAAACAGCATTGTTGCCGTTGTTGTTGTCCTAAGTCCATTGCTCTTACAATCAGATGGAAAACAATGAATGGTTCTGAGCTGTAACTGAAATGCATGGTGTATCTGTTCAGTTACAGAGATGAATCCCAATGTGGTAGTCATCTCAGTGCTGGCCATTCTTAGCACACTGCTGATTGGATTGCTGCTGGTCACCCTGGTCATTCTCCGGAGAAAGCATCTGCAGATGGCGAGGTAAGTCAAGTTCAGGTCATCTTTTACTCACAGCCTTGGAAATATTTTATTTATCATACAAGCATGCGTTTGCAGACCTAAATTTTACAGCAGTAAGTTGTCTACTTCTATCCTGTGTTTTCTAAGAGACCTTTAATATTGTTTTAGAAAGCACTACCATTGAAATGGTAAAGCAAAGGATTGTTGGTTTACACAAAGTCAGACCTCTTAACTATGTATCTTGTCATCTTACGTGGCCCATACATTACCTTTGGATAATTTCAAAGTTGTTTTGGATTACAAGAGAAATCTATACCTATTCAATATGATTAATAAAAGAAGTTAATATAGATAGAGACCACAAGAAAAAAAAAAAAACACTCTCTTCATGAGTTCTGTTGAAGTTGTCTTGTGAAAAAGTATTTGTAGAGTTTGTGATTAAATCTCTTACAGGTCCCCTATCATTTTTGTTCATGTTATTCAGAGTTGTGGAAAATTTTATTTTTCTTGCAATTAGAACAGCCTTTTGATTTATGATTTTGATGAGTCTCTATTCCTTTGACCACTAATACATTTCTTACTTATCAGAGCGCATTGTCAAGAACTTGCTGCGGCCCCTATATTATCAGAACAATGATCAGTTCTCTTAAACACACACGCACACACAACTGTTACCTAGTTGAGTACTACTGGGTGTGGGACATTTGACTCCAATTAATATTTGCCCAATGTTAGCCTGCTGACTTGTCATCAATCAACATCCTTCTCCTTTCTCAGAGTTCTGTCATTCACCTATTCATAAATAAATTTATCCAGCCAATAACTATGTATATAATGTGCCTATATGGATAGTCAAAGAAAAATCAGACATCCAAGCTGTCCACTAGGAACTTAGAACATAGCTGGAGAGATGTACATAAATAAATATATTTAAATGTATAAATGACTTGTACCAGGAAAGAAATTAAAATGGATTAATATGAAAGGAAAGAAAAGAGATTAGTTAAGAATATAAAAATCAAGCTTCTTAATATTAGCATTGGAACAAATCTTAGAAGGCTAGGGAGGGTGGTGGCACAGCACTGCGCCGAGAATATGAAGCTCTGAAATCATACACCTTGGGGTCAGATCCTGATTTACAGCCCATGTGTCCTTGTGTAGTCCACTGAAACTTGATCCATTCACTTAACAAATAGCAGTGGATACCTGTTGTGTGTCAGACTCCTCAGGGTGCTTGGAATATGACGGCATACAAAATAGGCAAAAATGGCCCTGGCCAGTTTGGCTCAGCAGTTAGAGTGTTGTCCTGCAGACAAGAGAGTCCTGGGTTCGGTTTCCGCTAAGGGCATGTACCTCGGTTGCAGTTTGTCCCTGGCTCCAGTTGGGGTCATGTGAGTGGCAACCAGTTGATGTGTCTCTCTCACATCGATGTTTCTCTCTCTCTCTTCCCCCTCTTTCCCTCCCGCTCTATCTAAAGATGAATGCAAAAATGTCCTCGGGTGAAGATTAAAAAAAAAAAATAGGCAAAAATGTCTGCCTTCATGCAGCTTGTATTCTAGTGGAAAACATTGACAATAAATAATAAAGATCAAAGTTAAAAGATTATATTGCAGCCCAGCTGGTGTGGCTCAGTGGTTGAGCATTGACCCATGCACCAAGAGGTTGCCAGTTCAATTTCTGGTCAGGGCACATGCCCAGGTTGTGGGCCCAGTCTCCAGAGAGGGGCATGCAGGAGGTGGCCAGTTGATGGTCTCTCTCATGGATGTTTCTATCTCTCTTTCCCTCCCCCTACCTCTCCCTGTAAAATCAATAAAGAAAAAATATTTTTTTTAAAAAAGACGATATTGTATGTTAGCAGACAATAATAGGAAAATAATAAAGCAGAGTAAGAGAGATTGGCAGTATCTGTCTGGGGAATATGAGGAGGGGAGCCCTGGGAAGCAGGAAAGTCTCACTGCAAGGGTGACATTTGAAAAAAGACGAACATGAGGGAGTTGGCCGTGTGTTATCTGGGGGAAGAGTGTACCCAGTAGAAGGTATAGCCAGTGCAAAGGCCCTAAGGAGGCAGGAGCATGACCAGTAGGTTCAAAGAATAGCTGGAAGTTAAGAGTGGCAAAAGCAGAGGAAATGAACAGAGGAGTAGCAGGAGGTGGTGTCAAATCCTATGGGTTTCATAGCTGTTATAAGAGCTTTGGGTTTTGCTTTGGGTGAATGGGCAGCCATTACAGAGATTGAGCACAAAACAGAAAATTTCTGACTTACGCCCTGGCCAGGTGGCTCAGTTCAATTGAGCATTATCTGTACACCAAAAGGTTGTGGGTTCATTCTCAGTAAGGGCACATACCTAGGTTGTGGGTTCAGTCCCCAGTCAGGGCATGTATGGGAGGCAGCTGATTGATGTTTGTCTCTCACATCAGTGTTTCTCTCTCTAAAAATCAATTTAAAAAACAGATCCTCCTAGAAGTGGGATCACTGGTCAAATGGAAGTTCAATTTTTAACTTTTTGAGGTAACACCATAGTGTTTTCCACAGTGGTTGCACCAGTCACATTCCCACCAGCAGTACACTAGAGTCCCCTTTTCTCCACACCCTCGCCAACACTTGTTGTTTGATGATTTGTTGATAGTGGCCATTCTGACAGGCGTGAGGTGATACCTCATAGTTGTTTTAATTTGCATCTCTCTGATGATTAGTGATGTTGAACATTTCTTCATGTCTCTTGGCCATTTGTTTGTCCTTTTTGGAAAAGTGTCTATTTAGATCCTCTGCCCATTTTTTAATTGGGTTCTTTGTCTTCCTTTTATTGCTTTGTATGAGCACTCTATATATTTGGAAATCAACCCCTTATCTAATGCATCATTAGCGATTATGGTTTCCCATATAGTGGAATCCCTTTCCATTTTGATGGTTGTTTCTTTTGCTGTGCAGAAGCTTTTGAGTTTGATGTAGTCCCATGTGTTCATTATTTCCTTTGTTTCTCTTGCCTTAGGTGTTGTATCAGGAATATACCCTAAGAAACCTAAAACACCAATCATAAAGAATATAAGTACCCCTATGTTCATAGCAGCACTATTTACAATAGCTAAGATCTTGAAACCACTCAAGTATCCATTAATAGATGAGTGGATTAAAAAGCTGTGGTACACGTACACAATGGAATACTATGCAGCTGTAAGAAAGAAAGATATCTTATCCTTTGAAATGGCATGGAAGGACCTGGAGAGTATTATGCTAAGTGAAACAAACCAAGCAGAGAAAGACAAATATCACATGATCTCACTTATTTGTGGAATATAATGAACTAAACAAACTGATGAACAAAAATGACCCAGAGACATAGAGGTGGGGTACAGACTGACAAGCCTCAGAGGAGGGGGGAGTTGGGAGGGAAGAGATAAACAACAGAACTCATATGCATGTATGCATGACCAATGGACAAAGACAACAAAGCTGAGGATGGAGTAGGGGAGATGGGGAGGAGGGTGTCAATGGGGGAAAAAGGAGAAACATCTGTAACAAAAACAAATTAATAAAAAATTTTTAAAAAGAATTACAATGGCAAAGAATTCTATTCTTGCCATAATCATACAGGGAAGTCTTTAGGGTTTGCTTATTTTTTATTTTTGTTTTGTTTTCTTTTTGAAAGGTACAAAATATACTAGGAAGTACTGTAAACAACAACAACAACAACATATCCTCAGCTGAGGATTAAAATAGATATCTGACTTACACGTTAACATTTTCATTTGTACTGTTATGTAAAACAGGCTGTAGTGAGGCAAGGACTACAAAAAGCAGGCATGTGAACCCGGGCGGCCATGACCGCAATCCAGGCAAGAGAGGTGGAAAGGTCAGCCCAGAGGGGTAGCAAAGGTGGGTGGGGAAACTGATCACATTCCAGATATATTTTGAAAACAGAGGCAACCGCATTTGCTAACAAACAGCATGTTGAATGGGTATGAATAAGAGTCAAGAATGACTCCAAGGTTTTCAGCCCTAGCAACCGAAAAGATGGCATTGCCATCACCTGAAATGGGATTCCAGGTGAGAGAGTTTCAGAGTTGGGGGGACATCAGGACCTCAGTTTGGGAAATGATAGTTGGAGGTGACGGCAGCGCGGGTGAGGGCAGCCGAACGTCAAAGTCTGGTGTTCAGGAGACGTCTGGATGGAAGACATAAATTTGAGAGTTGTTAGCATGTAAATGGTATTAAAGACGTAGATGGGATGTAATCCAGGAAGTGTAAATTGGAAAAAAAAAAATCTCTGGATTATCTAGTATTAAGTATTAAGATTTTAATGAAGAAAAAAAAAAAAAGATAGCAGTAAAAGAGACTGACAAGAGACATCCGGTGGAATGGAAGGAAAACAAAGCCAGGAAAGAACGTCTATCAAGAAGATGATGATGACCCCTACACTAGGGGACAGTGAGAAGCAATCATGCAGTAACAGCATAGTAGGCAACTCACAGGGAGTGTGCAGTAAATGCTAGCTTCTGATAGGAATCATAAAGGGGCGGTGTGGAGCAATGAAAGGAGTAGTATTTAGTATTTGTGAGGCTGTTCTTGCAGGAACACCCTCAATGCACACAGCAAGATCTTTAGGACAAGTGTTCTACTTCAGCCAGCTGGTTATTAGGACAGAGATTCTCAACATTTTCGGTGCCATGATGCTCTGGCAGTCTGAGGAAGCCTGTGGATCTCTTTATTCCAAGATTAATGCTTCTTTTTCAGTGCATAAAATAAATATATAGGATTGAAAAAGAAACTAATTATGTTAAAATATGGTCATTGCCCTGGCCAGTTTGGCTTAGCGGTTAGAGCGTCGGCCCGTGGACCAGAGAGACCTGGATTCAGTTCCCACTAAGGGCACGTAACTTGATTCCAGTTCCCCAGCCCCGGTTGGGGTCATGTGGGTGGCAGCCACTCGATGTGTCTCTCTCACATTGATGTTTCTCTCTCTCTTCCCCCCTCTTTCCCTCCTGCTCTGTCTGAAGATAAATGCAAAAATGTCCTCGAGTGAGGATAATAATATAAAAATAAAGTAAATAAAATAAAATAGGGTCATCAAAGTACTTAAAAGAACAAATGTGTTGTATGTTTATTTATTAATATATTAGATAACAATATTTTGTAGGTGTCTAGTAATTCTCATATTTCAACATAGTGATAAATATGAACAATATTTCAATACCTGCAGCAAATCTATTATAGAAAAATATCATTTCAAACGTGTATTTAGGATCTTGAGTGCTCTTTAGAAAGAACTGTGTACTGAAACCTTTGGCCTCAAATAACTTGCTATGGGGATGTGCAACCTTGTGAAAAATTGTTTTGCTTTATTTTCCTATTTTGCATTTTATGCAAAAGAGAAACCCATAGAACTTATTTTAGCTTTAAAAAAAAAAATGTAATGTGATGATGATAAGCCGGTAAAGAAGCATTAACCTTGACTGTGATTCCTCTCACACAGGGAGTGTGGAGCGGGAACCTTTGTCAATTTTGCATCCTTGGAGAGGGATGGAAAGCTTCCACACAACTGGTGCGTATGCTCTTGGAACAAATCTCTGGACAGCGTAGCTATGTTGTGTGTTCTCCAAGCTTTATTTTACCATCTTCAGGGGATAAATGGTTTTGTCTGATTATCCTTTCATGATTTCTTTGGTCATGGACATTCAAAGGTTAGATCTTCACAGAGTATATTGGTATATATTAATTTAATACAATTATGAAGTAGAAAAAATGTCATAGTCTGTTCTGTATTTACTATGTTAAACAAAGGACTAAATAATCAATTATCAAGTGGTGCATAACTGTGCCCAAGGAGGGCTTAAATAGAGGAGCCACACTGAACAGGTGGTGGCTGAAGGCATGACAAGATAGCCATTGAAGCGGTATGAGACAGAACAGCATCTCTACTTAAAAGTCACATTTCGGTGCCTGGGGACATGAGCCACACTTCTGTTCAAAAATCAAGTAGAAGTATACAGCCCAGGGCCCTCAACTCTTGCACTTACCAGTAAACAAATATCAAATCCAGGAAGGTCCCATAAGAAAACATGGCACCATTTTTCTTTATTCTTGAGTATTAAGGACCTGGAGGGAGGTGACATTTTGAGAATTAAAAAAAAAAAAAAAAAAAGATTGTCAGAAAATTAAATTGGTTGACATTATACTTAACAATGATACATGAGAATTAACAGTATATGGCAATCAATACCCAACAAAATTGCTAGTGAAGTAACCACTTAGTGAAGCCAGCACTGCTTATATGATCTAGTGTGGCGTTGTGCAAGCAACCATGCAAAGCACGTTGAAATATATCCATTTCATATTGATTCTTGGTAAGTAATCTTGTTTTCTGTTTTTACTCATCCCCCAAAATGATTCATCTGAAAGACATAGACATCTGCATCTGGAAATTTTACTCTAGAGAATCAATGCAAGAGGGAGGGCTTTATTTAACACATAAATTCTACTGCCCTCGGCGGGCACCTATCCACTCGATGCCCACTCTAGTTGAGAGTCTAGTTGAAATAGGATTCTTTGGTGCTATTTTTACATTTTAGCCTGAATGGAATTTTGCTATTTAAATACGACTGATCCAACTGTGAAAAGAGAGAAACCCATAACCCTTGATGGTGAAAAGTTAGGAAACATTTCTAGCTTTGTTTGAATATATTAGCACTTTTTCCAAGATGAAGAGACTAATTCACTGATATTTGACTGTCACCTAGCCCACCCTTAAAAAAGGCTCAATCACAGAGCAGTGATGAGTGGCCCATGTAGGAAATGGTTCATTTATACCTGTGACTGGAGGGGGCTGTGCATTGATTACACAACAGTCACAGCTTATAGAATATGGGAGGCCTGTTATGGGAGAACTGAGGCAAAAGAGAATTCACTTCAGGACCTTTCTACAAAACCAAGAACATTCCCATGCAACTCTTGGCCAAGGTAGGTTCTCCAGCACCAGCATTTCCTGGCTGGCTGAGAATAGAGATCTCAGTGGACAATTTGTAATAACTAACGTGACAAGGTGACAGCATTTCCCCCGTAATTCTCAGAATAACTCGAGAGGCAACCATATGATATTTTAAAACCTGCATTCATGAATATTCTATTTTACAAATGGTTGGAATATCTGAAATTGGTTTTAAACCATGCATTTTAAACCAACAGTCTGAATTAGAATTAAAGTGAAACTAAATAACTTTGCTCCCACTCAGCTGAGTATTGGTTAAGATCCCAGACTAGGCATTTGATGAGCTACTTTTCTTGAATGAATGGTACCCAAGTGCCATGCCATACCTCTGAGTTAAGGGTTACTTTTTAGACATGATGGAAAAGTTAAAATAAAAACAATGTAGAAAGTCACAGGGGTGCACTGGACACGCTGCTTTATAAGGCTGTGTCCTGAAAGTTTTTAGTCTTCACCATGACCGGAACGTGGAAACTCGCCATTTGTATTCCCTCCCACAGGCTGCTGCGAGCTATCAAACGGTGTTATCCACGTTCCTTAAAATAGGCTTAGGCACTGCAAGGGTGCTATCCAAGAATAAGACCGAGATAACTAATGAGGCATTTAAGCACCTCATTTAGCTGAATGTGAAATGTAATCAACTAATAGCAGACTAATTAACACAAAATAAGTTGGGAAAACATATCTGAATTACAATAAGAGGCTGTGTGTGAATGAAACAGATTTTGACAATATTCTAGCGCTTCAGACCTCAGGTTTAAATGTCACAGAATGGAATAATATTGCTTTATAATGAAGGTGCTCATGTTACGGGATTCCAGTCAGGAAGGTACTGATATCTGTTCACAGTTTATCTGACTAACTCCTGCCGCTGCTTCATCTTCACACCTGTTATCTATTAATGCTCACAGGCGTAGGAGTGTGTTTGCTTTCCTAACCCTGCTACCTTCCTGCCTTTGGACTGATTATCTTTTGGCATTTTATATTAATCCTTGGTAAGTGAATTTTTAAAAAATTTTTACTGCTTACCTAACACAGTCTTTAAAAGTGAGCTTTAAGAAAGGAAACAAAACAGAAAAAGTCTTTTATGTGTTTGCAGCATCTTCAATTATGACTCATTCATGGAAATGGATTAAAGCGGTTCATGGTACCAAGATGCTAACAATAATGTTTTACAATTAAGTTTTCTTCTCATGATGTTCTTGGCATGCTCTCCTATTTATTCCTAGTCGTTTGTGTCTTCTTAAGTCAGTCCTTTGGCCCCTCATCTTTATAAAGGATGTTTTCTACTTTCTTTCCCATGACCATCCATTTCAGTTCCATATTCCCCAGAAGGAAGAAATACATTAAAATACGGAAACCCAGAGCCCTACACCCTGTATGCAGGGCCTTATTATAAGAAGGCTAACCTAAGGAATATGAGCAACTGACCATGTCCAAGCCCCTTTGTATAATTGTCTTATGTAATTGTCCCCACAACCCTGCAGAGGGCATTTTCACCCCATTTTAGAGATGTGGATATGGAGGCATCAGAGATTAACTATCAACGTCACCCTACATAGTACATCCGGGTTCCAATCCAGGTCTCTCTGAAATCTATTCTCTCCTTTGTAGAGAGCAGCCTCCTTTAGATACTTATTTTCTTGGCTTTTAAATTATTTTAATAATCAAATCTTGAAGAATAGTCTTCTCAGCTTTTGTAAAATAATAATAATATTAATCATCATCATCTTGAATTCTGAGACTAAAGTGTCTAGGACTATTTCTTTTCCTGAGTCATAAAAAAAAGTAGTGGTTTTCCAGAGAACTGGTGAAAAATGATTGTCCTTAAGTATTAGTCCCTGGTGTTTAGTAAATGATGTACATATAGAAAGATCCAGAAATGTGGACAACTTGAGAAGGACTCAGAAAAAAAAAAATTTAAGTTCATGGACTGGGAAAAAAAAAAAGGCCTGCATTTGGGGCAGAAGAAGGAAAGATGAAAAGACATCTGGAGAGTTATTTGTCCGAACGGACAATTGATCAAATGTTCTCCAGCTCCTTTGAGGACAGAATAAATACAGCTGCAAAGTTTAGGACTCCAAGTTTCAATGAGAGAAATAGAAAAACGATTTCCTCACAACACAGATGGGTAACACCAGCATTTGTATTTTCCTTAAAAAGAGGGACTGGAAGAAAACTTATGAAATGTGACTGAGACCAATGTGTAAGTAATAAAGCCAGAGGAAGGTGTTAGATTATGAGAACCCATTCACTACGATTCTGTTTGTTTTTAATAACAGTTTGGTACCAGACTTCACCACAGTCAACACAATATTTTTACATATTTAACATCTGACAGTCTTCAGGTATGAGAAGTGGTCATAAATTCCATCTCGTCCTTCAAAATGTAAATTTATTTTTAACTCAGGATCCAATCACCCTTGAATATTCTACCTATCATTAGAATACTTGTAACAAATACCCTTAAGGTACCCCACAGATTTCAATTGCAATAAAAGAAAGATGCATATAATTTTGTATTCATTCCCCTGCTTAATTCTCTGTTTTTCTCATTTTCCACAGATAATTTTAAGCTTATATCAGGCAAGCCTATGCTTATTTACATGTCTTTTATATACATATACTTTTTGTAATTGATTGATTTTAAAGAGAGAGAGAGATTTGTTGTTAAACTTATTTATGCATTCGTTAGCTGATTCTCGTGTGTGCCCTGACCAGGGATTGAACCTGCAACCTTGGCATATATGGACGATGCTCTAACCGAGTTAACTGACCAGGGCTTGCGTGTCTTTTTTAATAGCTCCCTCTGATGAGCACGAGATCAAATTTCAGCAACCTGCTTCAAGGTCCACTATTTATTGTCCTAGTCAAGTAACATCAGAGAAGTTAGAGACAAAAGCTCTTCAGCGGTTTGTAGAAAACCAGTCCTGAAACAGTAAACAGGTCATCTCCAGATGAGAACAGAAGGCAAAACCTAGAGCCCCAACTTCCTGTCACTTTCAGTAAACCACACACAAACCAACCAATGAAAATATCCTGATCATTCTGTTTTCAGCCTGAGGCTTGTGCCATGCCAAAAGGAAAAGAAGTAAAACTCAAGGTCCCTGCCCCTAGCTGGGTCCTCAGAAAGCCACCCGAATTCCCTACTGTTTGCTACTTCTCATCTAACAACTCACCCCCTCTTAACACACCACTCGGCTTCTCTAAACTGTCAACTTCACAAGATATGTTCCCATTGGTTTTCTAAAATCCTCCTGATGTCTCCAGTGGTTCACATAGAAATCAATTCTCTTTCTTAGAGTATTACTCAAGTCTTTTCCCAGGATTGTAGCAGAATCAGGGCAGAACTCCAGGGCTCACTCAGTTGGCTTAATCTCAAGATTGTATTCTGCTAGGAGTTCTGATTTAATGATCTTAGATTGTCTATGTGGATTCAGCATATTATTCTCTCCTTTCTTATGACCATATTCATCCTCATGCTGTTCTCCAGTATTCATCTGCCTGTTCTAAATCCTCAGCAGTTTACATTGTACGCATGAAGTAACGCTGACTTTAAAATGCTTAGCTTTACCCATGGTCATTGCATTGCTGAATTTAGAGAATGATATCTCTAATGACCTTCTTTAAGATTTGGGGATGATTTCCATTGAACTCATGAGAAAGTAAGCAGTGCTTATCAAATTGGGGATATCTAGAATTTTTTTTGGCAAGGGGAGGTGGTGTTGTTTTTGCTTTTAACCATCATAAATCCCATGTTTCTGGCATTGCTATATATTCTTCTTTGTGATAAATTCCAATCTGGCTGGCTTTCTAAGACTGTCATACCATGAAGAACTTACAAAGAATGCATCTTAGCTTCTTGGAATCATTGGGGTCTTGAGCTTTACCTAATATAAATCAACAGGCACAATTAAAAGAAGTGCATTACCCTGTATGCATATATACCATGGTTGTTTTTTATCAGTTATTCAGAAAATCTTTTGCAATGACAAGATGACACCCTACACATCACCCAAAATGTTCACTGTAACAGGCACACACACAGGCTAGCTTTTCCCATAATATGCTGAAGTTAAAATTATTAGCAAAGCCTTAACTATGTGTTTAAAATTAAACTTCCCCAATTTTAGTCTTAGAATTAGTACAGAAATTTTCCAAATGTAGGAAAAATTATATCATATTGCCATGAAGTCTCATAATTCAGTCTTTAGGATATCTATAGAAATTCAGCAAAATCTCGGCATAACAATGAAAACTGCGCACATCAGGAAGACATACACTTAGGATGGTAAGAGTATGACGGTGAGTCTTATAAAACGTGGCAGAATTTCACGTGGCTTAAAGTTCCTCCCGTCAGTGAATGAGATTGAAAGAACAAGTGCCTCTCCCCATGAATCAGATTTCTGCACGCCGTCGAGTAGTAGCAGCTTAATATTTCAGCACTGAATTTATTCAGTGTCACCTCCCACATACATTTGTTTCTTTCTAGTTTCCCTTCAAGTCTATTTGGATAGGAAAGGTTTCTGTCTTTGTGTAAAATTCACTCCCAGTCACAAAATATATTGGCAGCCTTTGGCTTTGCCAGAACTGTTCGTATCTGTGCTAACATTCTGCTTTCATAAAGCACTCGAGTAACTGGTTCCTGCCACACGAAGTAAATGCGGAATTCCTAAAGTTAACTAAATTACCACTGCAAGAGCTGAGTAGAAAATCATTCAGGCTCAGCTGGTGTAGCTCAGAGGTTGAGCGTGGACCCATCGACCAAGAGGTCACTGGTTCAATTCCCGGTCAGGGCACATGCCCAGGTTTCCGGCTTGATCCCAGTAAGGGGTGTCAGAAGGAAGCCAGTCAAAGTTTCTATCTCATTGATGTTTCTATCTCTCCCTCTCTCTCCAAAAACCAATAAAATCATTTTTTTTAATCATTCAAGAGGTATTTCTTTAGGTTCCCATTATTTCTCACTGTTATTCCCTGGTTCTTTACTTTTTGCTTGTAGAACTGGGAGTAGTCAGTTGATACTTCTATTTATTTACAAAATACTTGAGCAACTTAATCCCTAGTAGCAAGAAATTATATATTTCCAGAATTCTGTTACTTGCAAACATTAAGTATAAAGTGTACGTGTGTTCCTGCAATCAAATAGAGTTTTTAAAAATGAATCTGAAATTATTATTTTCTCATTTAAGGAAAAGTCATTAAAGAAACCTGAGATATGTTTACTAAAAATTCAATAAAATTGAGGTGCTTGATGTAATAAGTTTAATCACTATGGTAATCAATATTTTTGCCTAGATAAATTTGTCTTTTTTTCTTTTCTTTTTTAATTCTCAGGAGTAAAAATGGGTTAAAGAAGAGAAAACTGACTAAGTAAGTTGTTTCATTATTGAGACATAATTGATATTCAACATTGTGTAAGTTTAAGGTGTACAGTGCGTTGACTTGATACATTTATATGCTGCAATGTGACTCCCACGCCAGCATTAGCTAACAGCTCCACCATGCCTCATAGTTACCACTTGCTTTTTGTGATGAGCACATTTAAGGTCTAGTTTCTTAGCAGTTTTGAAGTATGGAAGGAAGGAAGGAAGGAAGGAAGGAAGGAAGGAAGGAAGGAAGGAAGGAAGGAAGGAAGGAAAGGGCAATTGCATATTAAAATAACTAAGCTATTATGTGTTGTGTGTTTACACATATGGAGGGCAGTGACTACTAAGAAAGTGTATCACAGAAACAATGTCAGGAATTTAAGAAAAAATTTGCCGTATGAAATCTGAGAAAGAATGAGTTGTTAGGAATTATTGAAGTCTTGCTGAAGGAAATCTGTTATTCTAAATTTATTTTAAAATTTAATTTTTAGTCACATCAAAACTGTACAAAAACCTTTGCCATTTTGTACTTTGAAGATCTGTGCTTATTGCAGGGAAAGGCTTTTACTGTATTTGATGTTATGATAAATGCTTTGAGAAATGCTGCCCTGGAAAATCATTATATTAATAGAAAAAGACAATTTCTCTTGCTAGCCTGTGTTTTCACTTATCTATTGAACTGCTAAATTGTAAAAATTTAAGATTCTGATAGGTGAAAATTAACCATCAGTTGATTTCACAGGCCTAATTAGATTATCACCTCCAGGCCTTTAGATAAACAGTGCATACAAAGAGTAAAACATCCCTATAAATAGAGTTCACCCTTGATACTTGCCTAGGATAGAATATTAGTGAATTAATATGAGGCAATTAGGGGTTCCAGCCAGATCTACAGCATCTTTGCTAAGGAGGAAAAAGTCACAGAGTACATTATACAAAAGAAAAGTTGATGCAAAAATATTTCTATTTAGCCCTGAGTGACATAACATTTTAGCACATATAAATGGCATTCCATTGGCATATCTATCAATTAATATAGGAGAGATGAGACCAGCCTATAGAGAACAGAGGTACTGTCACCTGGAAGAAATGATTTGACAGAAACAGATTTTGTTGCCCAAATCATTGGTTGGATTGTTAATGAGGTGGAGAGGCATAGACTAGAGCAGTTAAGGGTAGGGTCTCAGGACCAAAGGGGAGACTGTACCCCACAGCGAGGAGGAGGAGGAGCAGGGTGTGGACAGAATTTGGTAGAGTTTAAGAGTGCTGAAAACTGCTCACCAGCCAAAACATTGCATCAAACCAGCTTCCTCATTTCCACTTCTCGTTTTCCCTCTAATCCTATCTTCTTCTCCGAAAGCCATCTTGAGGGGCTTTCTATCCCCCTCCCCACCTTTCTATTTACTTTCTTTTCCACTCCAAATGTCCCCCACACCATGCCCCTGTGGCTCCCCTTTTCATTCTCTACTCCTTTCCTTCACTTTCTCTTTCCCCCTTTCCCTCCAAAACTTTGTCCTGCTGATCTCTGCTCTCTCCCAGCTTTTTCTCCTCCTTACCACTCTCCTCCTTTCCCTGATGTTCATACTTCGATTTTCTGGTTCTTCCTCTGTCTTTCTTTCCCCTGCCTTTGCTTTTTCTAACACATACATATTTTCTCTGACTTGCTATCCTTCTGGATGCCCCCACATTTAGCCTGTTCTTTTTGGAAGGATGGCAAGTTTGAAGTGGGAAAGCTTGTAACCAGGGATCCTTCTCCCTGGGTTCTAGACTGGGTTCCGTGACTCAGTAGCCATGTGACCTTGGTCAACTCACTGGTTCTCTTAGCCTTGACTCTGTCATCTGCAGCATGGGATGGCATTGGCCATCTGTACCTCTACCATCAATGGAGCAAGATAACATATGCAAATAGTTTAGATCTATAGTGTTTTATGTATATAAGTCATTCATGTTATTATTAAGAAAAACCATTAAAGTTTAAATGTAGTATCTGGGACATCTAATGCCCTTTGAAAATTCTAAAACTTTAAAATAACTTAATTATCAGATTAGCTAATCAACAACTCTAAACAAATAGCTATTACTTACTGAGTATTTGCTATGAGGACATAAGACCACACGTAGATGACATAAGCTGAGTAACTTGCAATAAGACTAGAGGAAGGTCAGCTCTGTGGCCCCTGACAAAGTAGAGGGGCTTGGATTGGGTGACAGTACAGCATGCTGCAGAAGTGGAGGGAGCAGGTTGGTCTAGGTAGGGTCTAGAAGAGAAAAGCAGCTACAGAACACTACAGGGAATAAAACATAACCTTTATTTTTTAAAAATCAAATAAGAAAAGAGATGAAGACTTTTGCTACAGATGCAGAAACATGTGCTCAGATGTCTTTTTTGATGGTACCTGTGAACCTACATACCATTTTACAGACACGCAAGCCCCTGGCGTGGCCCTCAGAGTGGGGCCTTGGGAGCTGTCGGGACCCTCGCTCTACCTACATCCTGCCTCTGTTCTGGGGAGAAAATGTAGCTGGCAGCATCACTTCTTGTAAAGCCTGTTTAAACTGACAAGGTTCTTTTAATATACTCTGTGTGTAAACTTGTGAGGTGAGAAGGCTGAATCTCAGAAGAGTTAGGTAAATTGTCCAAGAACACACAGTAAATAAAGTGGAACCGTAACCCCTACAGGTCTGCAGAGTCGAATCTTTTGTTCTTTTCTATAAATCAGAGTTTTCTAGAAACAATACATATTCATGTGTGAGTATGCATGTATGTAGTATTTTATTGCTAGAGTAAGAGCCAGTTGAAAATCTAGATATTTATCCTATCTCAAGGAAGTTTAAATAGATTAACTACAATATATTAAGGACTGGTAACTTTAACCAAATAAAAATAAAAATATAAGTGAGTGCTAACCTTTGAGAAGCAAAACTTCTCTAAGACACTGTTCATGTTTGAGAAGTACAGTACTAAACCATACCTATCAGTAGGATTTTTAAAACATACATTTCTTTGTGTTTGACAAAGCCCTGTTCAACTGGACGACTTTGACGCCTACATCAGGGATATGGCCAAAGACTCCGACTATAAGTTTTCTCTTCAGTTTGAGGTGAGTGAATAAAGCAGACCCTGCCTTCTGCGGCAGACAGGGCATGGGGGCACGCAGGCTGGCTTGGTGCCATGTCCCTGCTCACTGGGCCGGGCTTAGGATCAGGCTGCATATAGAGCGGAGTGGTAACTGAGCTCAGGGATATCTGATCTACTGGTCCAGATATAAGATGTCCACTCTTAGTTAACAGGTCAGGGTTTGGGGGGCACACATGAAGGAAAGGAGATGCAGGTACTGGGGTGAACACACGTGGTTACAGGAGAAGCCACCAATGAAAACCAAGGCGATTGAGACTGCAGGGGAGAGCAAGCTGACGACTGAGATCTGAAACCGAACTTCACTTTCGGGAGATTTTTAGTGGGTCTCTCATGCCACTTCCGCCACAGCAATGGTGGATGAAAAGGATCCTTTTGTCTTCTGGGCATTTAAGAGTCTATGGTGGGGCTCTTATACCTGTAGGACTCTGGCATTCTACTTAATATCGCTTTGTGAAGATTTGTTTTCTTTTCTTGGAGAAATGGGGGGAAGAGAGTTACACATGGTTTGTATAGAAGAAAACAATTGGCAGCACCTCCTCTTTCTGAAGCAGATGTATTTGTTTGAGCCCAAGAGCGTGCATCAGAGTGGGTGGAAATGAGTAAGTCTGGATCTCAGCAGTGTGCAGACTATCACTGGTCCTTAACGTTTTCTTCCCACACACTTCGCAGCACATAACACAGTCTGGATGGTGCACTTCCTCCAGGTTTCTACAGAGTGGTCTGTGATTCAGGGAAACCAGAGAAAAAGGAAAGATAAAATGAGTTTTCTAAATACTGTATATTTTCTTCAAGCCTCTTTCCTGTGAAATACCAGGTTGTAGGACATAGCTGCTTTCTCCTCATTATTCGTATTCATTTCTTCTTCCCACCCACGAGCCACGACAGTTTTGGTCTGCAAGAAGCAGCAGGAGTCCTGGTGTGGAAATTCTAACAGGGAAGTTAAGGATGAGAACCGTCGATGTTATCAGATACACAACCCCTAACCACCACCTTGTCCATTTTGTGCAGGTGCATAAAAAATTATAGATGCTGTGTCTCAAAGAATTGAAATGCTGTTTGAACTAGAAATCTATGGTGAGGACGGCATTTCAGAAAAGTATAGCAATGAAAGGAGACTCTTATAAGAAAATGTAAGGCGCCCAGATGGTATGGTTCAGTGAAATGAGTGCCTTCCCAGGGACTGAGAGGTCCGTTTGATTCCCTGTCAGGGCACATGCCCAGGTTGTGGGCTCGATAACCAGTAGGGGGCGTGCAGGAGGCAGCCATTCGATGTTTCTCTCTCCCTCTCCCTCTCCCTCTCCCTTCCTTTCTAAAAAATCAATGCAAAAAAAAACTTAAACCAAAATTTAGAAAAAATAAATAACTAGATGATTCTGATAATGGTGATAAAAATTATGATGTAGATACACTTTCAACCTCACTGAAGCAACAGCCTCTTAATTTCTACAAGATTACAGGCCCATGCTGACACAGCTATATCACTGCCTTTGCTGGGAAGGTTAGGAGTGCCTCCCATCCGATGTCGGTGTGACCATTGCTGTGTTTCTGAATTGCACAATGAGTCTTTTAATTTTTTTTTATGAAAAAAAATAGATTATTTTAGTTGTCAGTGACAGAATCACAATCCAAACTAATTTAGACCCAAGAAAAAGGGAATTCATTCAAAGGATCCTACGTTATATCATCTCATCAAAGGAAAGGATGAGCAGCTACACCACAAGGAGGGTCAGGAAGCAGCCTGTCCCAAGCATGGCTGGAGCCAGGGGCCAGCTTTCATTGGTCAGTTCTGCTTCTCTCTCTGTCTTAGCTTCATTTTCTTTCACTGTAAACCAACCTCTGTCTCTGTGGCAAACACGACCACCAACAACCCTTGTGTTATATTGTATAGTTTCCATGGTTTCCGAAAAGAACTCTTTTTCTTGTTCATGGTTTGAAAAATGACGGAGGAGTCTGCTTGGCTGTCCGGGGCCACTATGTCCACTCAAACCCACCAGCCAGGGCGGACAGAACCACCTGAGGACAGAACAGCTCTTCCTGGAAGCATGTGGTTCACTCAAAGGACAGAGAGCGTTGTTTTCAAAGCAAGGACACTGGGACAATCAGTGTAAGAAATTAGATTCCAGCTGCAGATGCTTCAAAACTATGAAAAGTAGATTGTAAATTTTATGTGCTAAATGCTCAATTTATAATATGTGAAGGGATTTTACACATATGATGTTAAAATAAACATGTCTGGGTTTATTTCATCATGTTATAAAAGAGGTAGGAATGTACTAAACTCAAAATTCAAAAACCTGGGTCCTCACTACCCTTTTGCCACTAATGAATATGGGAAAAAAAATCAAAATTTTTATCACCTGAATTTCTTCATCTATACACTGAGTCAGTGTTCTCAACAGGGTCAGGGCCAGAGAGTTCCGTAGGTGGGGTTTCAGATGTGTGGGAGTGATTTTTGGTTGTCACAATGGCTTGGGAGTAAGCTACTAGTGGTATTTACTGGGGACGGGGATGTCAAATGTTCTTTAATAAATGGGTCACTCCCACACAACAAAGAATTATCCCAAAACACTAGACTAAATGTGAGACAAGGGTACATCTAAACTTTGATACTTGTGTGTGTGAGGATTCTCCAGAGAAACAGAATCAATAGGAGATAGGCAAGTAGGTAGGTAGGTAGGTAGGTACGTAGGTAGATAGATAGATAGATGATAGATAGATAGATAGATAGATAGATAGATAGATGATAGATAGATAGATAGATAGATAGATAGATAGATAGATAGATGATAGATAGATAAACTTGAGGTAGAATAGGATTCAGAGAAAGTGAGATGGAGAGATTTATTTTAAGAAATTGGCTCACGTGACTGCCGGAGCTGGCATGTCTGAAATCTGCAGGGCAGGCTGGGGACCCAGGGAAGAGGTGATGCTGCTGCTCAAGTCCACAGTCTGGAAGCAGAATTTCTTCTTCCTCGGGGAACTTCAGTCTTTTCTCTTAAGGCCTCCCGTTGACTGGATGAGGCCAAGCCACATTTCGGAGGGTAATCTGCTTTCTGAAAGTCTACTGATGGAAATATTAATCATATCTAAAAAAAATCCTTACACACAACATCTAGACTTGATGTCTGACCAAGCAACTTGGCACTACAGCCCAACCGAGTTGACACAATTAACCATCATGCCCTGGTTTGAAGAAGTGTTTAGTATTTTTATTTATTATGAAGCTTTTTGTCATATATCTTTGTTCTTAGAATACTATTGGTCATATATATGTAATTTATTTGGTGCCAAGTTCTGATATATCATATCCTTGCTATGATGAGAAAATGCAAATGACTCTCCAGAAGTCTGCTTTATGTAAATCGCAAATTCGGACTGTTTGTTTTGGACTAACATTGGCTCAAGCAGACCCACCAGTCTGACTCACTTCCTTTTTCACTTAGCTTTCCACACATTGCCAGTTCCCAACCCTCCCCACCCACATCCTCGTTCAGTGTCAGGGTACCCTCTTCTATTTTCAAAGATGCACTGTGCTCCCACACCTGATTTCAGGGTGCATGTCAGACCTTTCACATGGCAGCCCTCAAATTTTCCTGAAATTGATCATTAATTGAGGCTTCGGGGGAAACAATATTTCCTTCTACAGTGGACACTTAAGAGGGCGTTAACATGGCTCAATCAGCTGGTCGAGCTGAATCCAGTGGCTGAACAGTTATTTGTTCTGTTTATACTAGTGCTTAATAGTTGTATTCATTTTGATTCTGACATTGAAAGATGGCACCTATATGGAGAAATTTCATCATTTGTAAGCATTATGCAAATGAAAACTAATGTCTGCATTTACATATATAACCAATACATCTAGAAGTCATACATGAAGCTATACAAGTTGCTAATTTGCATTCACTGAATAAATTACTCTTCACTCTGCATCTGATTTTGAATCTACTAGAAAGACTGCTTATCCTTCTAACAAAAATATACATCTTTTCTTAAGGAGGTTTGGGAACCAAAGATTAGATTTAATTTCTTATTTCTTATGTCTCATATGGAGAAGGTTTTGAAGAGCCAGAATTTAGAGCTTGAAATCCAAGAGCCCACAAGACATACCACAGACTGTTCGTTCAGCTGTTATTTTCTGTGCTCTGTGTTTGATCAGGATGCAAATGGAAGCCCTCACCATCTTTGTTCAGAAGTGTGTCTGCAAAGATTAAAACAAAACTACATTCCTTGTCATGCAGTCAACAAGGGATGACCTCTGATTTCTGGTAGGAGCTCCCATTTGCACTGGTTTCACCTGTGTTTCAGTTTAGTTCACTAGAGCCCTACCTGCAGTCCTTATTGAAAAAGTTGCCTTGAACCTTCTCCAACAGTTCTCACACCATGGGTCTTACATCGTTCCCACACCTGAGTTTTTTCTCCTTTCCGTTCAATTTCCTAGGTTTAGTCTCTGTTTCCAAGTGCCTGTACCAGTAATTTGTCCAGTGATTGGAGTATTGTCCCTAAGTCCCATCCGAGAGCCCACGGCCTTAGTAGCTATTGCTAGACATTCCTGAGGTTGACTTTCTTCCTAACCATCTTCCATCACCTGCCCAAGATTCCCATCACTGCTGCACCCCATTTTTCCTTATTTGGAAATAGGGTCATTTGCAGATGTAATTAGTTAAGATGAGTCATACTCAAGTAGGGTGGGTGCTCTTACAAAAAGACAGTCTTGTGAAGACACAGAGACAAACAGGGAGACTGCTGTGTGATGACAAACAGAGAATAGAGAGGTAGAGCTACAAGTGAAGGAACATCAAAGGCTGCCAACAAACCAGAAGCCAGGGAGAGGAAAGGAAGGATTCCTCTATACGTTACAGAGAGTATATGTCCCTGCTGACACCTTGATTGCAGACTTCTAGCCTTAAGAACTGTGAGACAATAAATTTCTGTTGTTTTAGGCCATCCACTTTATGCTACTTTGTTATGCCAGAACTAGGAAACTAATACAGAATCTCAATAAATACCTGTTCTAAATCCTTCCCTTTCCCTTTGTGTTTAATTGAAACATAACTGGACATTGCCCAATTCTATTGGACTTTTACTTGCCATAGATGGAAACTCTTCTTTCAACAGCTCTGGTCACATTGTGTCTCCTCACTTGTTCTGCAGTCTAGTAATCTAGCTCATCTGACTCTATGTCCAACCTATCCCAAAGTAAACATCAAGTGCTTAAGACTTCCCAACATCGCTACAAACTCTAAGGCCAGAATACAGCTTGGGCTCTTCTCATAAGATGATGGGACATTTCATATATTGAAATCCCAACTACCCAATATGATAGTATTTGGAGATGGGGTAGATGAGGTCATGAGGATGGGGCCCTCATGATTGGATTCGTGCCCTTATGAAAAGAGATATCAGAGAGCACGCTCTCTCTTTCCTCCCCACCCCCACCATGACCACAGAAAGAAGGGGTCATGTGAGCTCACAGCTAGATTGTGGCTATCTAAAAGCCAAGAAAAACCTCAGAATGATACTTGCTAGCACCTTGTTCTTGGACTTCCCAACCCTCCAGAACTGTGAGATATAAATTTCTGCTGTTTAAGCCACCTGGCCTGTGGTATTTTGTTATGGTAACCCTAGCAGATGAATATAGTGCATATATTTGTGCTTTGCTTTTCAAGACTTGCATGGTTCAAGATTAACCAAAGAACTTGTATGTTTATATGCATAATCAACAGACACAGACAAGAGTACAGTGAAGGCCTGGGAGGGGGGCAGGAGCAGGGTAGAGGGGCTCAAGGAGGGAATAAAAGGGGATATCTGTAATACTCTCAACAATAAAAATAATTTTAAAAAATTTGCATGCTTCAAACGCAGCCACACAGGGAGGACTTCCATTGGGCCTTGGTGACTGTATTAGTTTCCTAGAGCTGCCACAGTCTTGGTGACTTTAAACAACAGAAGTGTATTCTTCGGGTGTTAGTAGGGCCAGGCGCCCTCTGAAGGCTGCAGCGGAGACGCTCCCTGCTGGCACCTCCGGGCCGTCCTTGGCTTGCAGCTGCCTGGCACAGATCTGTGCCCCGCCTTGCTCGGCCCTCTCCTCTCCTCCCTTTTATAAAAACACTCGTCGTTAGAGTTGGGGCCCACCTGGATAACACAAAATCATCTCATCTCATGATTCTTAATTACATCTACAAAAACCATCTTTCCAAATAAGGCCACATTCACAGGTTCAGGGGGTTAAGATGTGGACTTAACTTTTGGGGGACCACCGTCGATATGGATGATTCCATGGCCGGGGGTGGGGATCATGATGATAAATTATATGAGAAACAAAACCGGCCAGAGAAAATTCAAAAATGATTTATGTTGGTTTCAGGCCATCCGTTCATACTTTGACTTGCTGGAGATTTAAGTCCCTGGAGATTCCGTATGGTTAGAAAGAAAATAACTGCAACGCTACTGAACTGGAAACTGTGTTCGATTTCCCGCTTGGTGACAGGCGGCATCACAAAAGATGGCAGAGCATGTTGTGTATACATGTGGCTCCCGCCTTGCAGTTCAGCTCTGGCAATTTCCATTACCAGTGTTCAGCCAATTAAACCTCTCTTATCAACTGAGGGCATTTACAGCAGGGAGCAACACACAATTAAAGTTCATTCAGCTCGTCAGCTTCCACACGGGCTCCAGCTCTCGGCAGCAATCTGTTTCCACCATTTCTTTCGTATCTGAGGCCCTTTCCTGTGGCTTATCAGTCTGTCCTCTAAGCAGGGAACTTGGGGGGAGAGTTGTTGGTCTGTTTGTACACATGACAAAGGAGGGAGAACTGTGGAGCCAGGCAAAGCAAACACACTTCACAACCATTATCTATCGCACTGCACCAACTCATGTTGAGACTGATCATTGTTTGGTAGTTGCTACACACCAGTGAGGTGTGGAGAAATTAGTAGCCTTATCTTACAAATAATTAAACTCATGTTAATGAGAGTTGAACTATTTTTCCAAGGCCCTGCCGTGTGTAAGTGGTACACCAAGATAAACCAGATGTTTTGACAAGCTATCTATAATGGCAACTGTCTAAAAGAGGTAGATTTCCAAAGTACTTGAAACAATGGAAGCATCATTTGAATAAGCTTAAAGCTGCCAAAAGGAACTAACCTAACACTGATTTAGTTGCAAAACTAAGTTTCATTTCTTACAAGAACGATATAGTCAGCCTTTGAAAACCTTTTACAATGAAAATGCCAGTAATAAAGTAACAGTGTTTAAAGGCTCTTGGTACACGAAGGTTTTGCCCAAGATGGAAAAAACTTCTAATTTTGTGAGTTCAGGATCAAAGTTAGCATAGTTTGTCTTTCCAATGGCTTTGATTTAGGTCAAAAAGCTTGAGATGTTGTGAGCTGGAAATGTCATAGTGATAGAGAAGCAAAGGAACAGAGAAATCTAGGCAGTTTTTGTTTGGTTGTCCATGAGGATTGCAGGCTTGCACACCAATGCCAGGAAGCACACATACTGAGCTACCAAGGAGCTCCTTATGTGCAAGCCACAGAAGTCTCAAGTACTAGATCTCTGAAGCGTGTGCTTTGCAAAGAGCACTGGAATCAAAACAAAGGATGTGGAAGAGATGTCGCTGCTCAGTCTCTCAGAACATCTCCGAATGTCTCCAACTCCATTCAAAAGTCTTTCAAAGACTCTCAAAAACTCTTTCCCCTGAACAGTATTCCTCCAGCTTATGATTTGTTGAAGGAATAACTGGGAGGAATTATGATGAGTAAGACTTGTTTTTAATATTAACATCCTACGCGAGTAAATAAAATGTACAAGTGGTTTCTCTACTGACTCAGTTAATATAAATATATTTTTTTTTAATTATCTTCTTATCCTCACCCAAGTAGATGTTTTTATTGACTTTGGAGAGACAGTAATGGAGAGGGGTGGGTGAAGAGAAACATTGATTGGTTGCCTCCCAGAAGCGCCCTGACTGGGGATCAAACCCACAACCCAGGTATGTGCCCTGACCGGGAATTGAACCCACAGCCTTTTTGGTGCACAGGATGATGCTCTAACCAACTGAGCCACTGGGCAGGGCCCGGTTAATAGTCTTATAGAAAAGCGCATTACTATATAAATAATACAATTTATTGATGGTTATGTGCTGTTTACTAAGAGTTTCCTCGAATGTGTTGAGGGACGGAACTAGAACTGCTGCACTGGCTGTGCCCTGTACAGCCGCGGGGAGCACCATTTGCACAGGCTGCAGCATGAACGATGCCCCCAGAAATGCAGATGGTCTGCCTACAAACCTGTTTCCTACCAGACACAGGACAAAGAAGTTTAGGAATCCCCTTCTCCAGTAGCATCGCCTTTTTGAGATGTGATGGTTGTCAGTTGTAGAAAAATCGCTCTGTGAATGCACCTTCTGAAAATAGGATTTATGGGAATACTGATACACACAGGCAGACACTTGGTTGTGTTTATTTTCACTGAAGTTTTCACTCACTTACTCCTTATTTTTGAGGTTTCTTTACCATATATTTGGGGCTGTCAATCTTACATCCTGTTCCGTGGAGACTACCCTGCACTGCCCCTCGCTCTCTCTTCTACTAGTGTCTCCGAGGCTCATTGCCTGAAAGAGAAATGCAGACATTCCTCAGAGAAGCGGACACATTTGTGCAAGTGGCATACCTTTCAGTTACCCTGCACCTCCTAAAATCTGAAACTGATTTCTTGTCAAATTTTCCACACCTTGAGCATGTTGTACACAGTCCTTACCTTCTCCAAATGATCACTAGGCTATCAGGGTAGTTATGTATTGTATTAGTCAGCTAGTACTGCAATGATGCTATATAAGAGCCAACATCGAAATCTCAGTGACCTACAGCAACGTTTATTTTTCTCACTCTTGGGTCTGTGGGACAGTAGGGACAGTTCTGCTTCCAGCCATGAATCAGGGTCAAGGCTGTTTTACGTGTCTCCTCACTCAGGGACCAGCAGCTTCCCTGCTCATGTGCTTTTCACGGCAGATGGCAGAAACACAAGAGGCAAACCAAACCTAACAAGCACATTTCAAGCTTCTCGTTGGATACGAGTTCTACCCAAGTTCATCGCCCAAAGCAAGCAGACAAGAGTGGGGTGGAGAAGTGCGCTCTGTCCCAACAGGGAGCCCTGCAGCATCCTATGGCAAAGGGGGTGTGAGGATTCTGTTACAGGCTGGGAGTGAACAATCGGCCATTGCGAACGACAGTCCATCCACACCGTGTACCAACATCTCTGATCTGTTCTCTGTCCCTTACAGGAGTTGAAGCTGATTGGACTGGATATTCCACACTTTGCTGCAGACCTTCCACTGAACCGATGTAAAAATCGTTACACAAACATCCTACCATGTAAGATTATCAGTGGTGCCAATCCGACTCATGTCTTTCAGAGGCAGAAGGATGACTGCAACTTAATCAGTTTCACCAATCTCGGAGCCGATCCGCTTGTGGTCTGGATCCTTGAGGCCCTCTCTGATCAAATCTGTGCTTAATGTCATTACATTGATCAGATCTGTGCTCCGATGTCAGTAGATCTTCTTGTGTGTAGGAAGATGTAATTATTATGCTTTTAAATGAATTGTATCTGAACATCTGAACAGGAAAGACTAATCATCTGGCCCTTGGATGATCAAATGTTTTAGCCAAATTAAGAATAAGATTATTTGCTCTCTCACAAAATATTTTTGGTCAGTTTTTTGACAATGGAAGGAGGCAAATGGAAAGGAAGTTCAACGTGTTAAAATGCCTCCTCTTTCTAACTTCTGGAAAGTTCTGGTGGTGCTTAGCACTTTTTAATAAAAGCAACATTCAAAGAAAAAGTAATATAAAGTACTAACAGGGCAATTAAAATATATTCCGATATAGATTTAACTTTTCTCTCTGCTGTATTCCAGGGAAGCCAAGGAAGAATGGAAAAGTGGAAAGAGACAGGGTGAAAAATCTCTAGAAAGAGAGCTTTTTCTTTAATCTGGTTTCTTGATAATATTGGGCAGTGTTAGCATTATAACACCTTACATCTGCACACATTTCAGAATTTACTCTTCTCACTTGAAGTCCATTCACAATAAGCCCATGCAACTCCATTTTCTCTTCTAGATTTCCCAGAGGTAGTGAATTCTCAGATGTCCCTGTGTGGAATGGAAATATGTAATTAGGTACATGTTATAGCCTTCCATACAATCTACCAAAAACTTTAGTTTCTGTAAATATTCTGCACAATCTCCCCCAACACATGGAGCTAATTCTTCCAAGAACAAGAGAGCTGGTTGGAGAAAATAGCAATTGAGAGATATGTATATATATATATTTTTTATTAATTTATTTTTGTTACAGATGTTTCTCCTTTTTTCCCCCCATTGATACCCCCCTCCCAATCATCCCCACCCTGTCCCCAGCTTTGTTGTCTATGTCCTTCAGTTATGCATACATGCATATAAGTACTGTGGTTTATCTCTTCTCTCCCCCAAACCCCCTCTTCTGAGATTTGTCAGTCTGTACCCTACTTCTATGACTCTGGGTCTATTTGTTCATCAGTTTGTTTAGTTCATCATATTCCAGAAATAAGTGAGATCATGTGATATTTGTCTTTCTCTGCCTGGCCTGTTTCGCTTAGTATAATACTTTCCAGGTCTCTCCATATCGTCTCAAAGGATAAGAGATCTTTCTTTCTTACAGCTGCATAGTACTTCATTGCATATATGTACCACATCTTTTTTATCCATTCGTCTACTGATGGACACTTGGGCTGTTTCCAGATCTTAGCTATTGTAAATAGTGCTGCTATGAACAGAGGGGTACATATATTTATTTTGATTGGTGTTTCAGGCTTCTTAGGGTATATTTCTAAAAACAAGAAACTAAGAATGAGGTATGGCTAGAATAGCAAGCTGAGACAAACTTTACCTACCTACTCTAACACTATTTTGACTTGATATTGGGAAGACAGCATCTAGACAATTGTTCCTTCCACTCTGTTTTTTAAATATTTCCTTTCTTCTTTTTCTTTATAGATGACTTTAGCCGAGTACGATTAATCTCCATGAATGAAGAGGAAGGAGCAGACTACATCAATGCCAACTACATTCCTGTGAGTAAAAAAAATGAAATAAAATAAAATAAAACCAGGCATCCAAATTCCAGCCCAGGCTGAGGAAAACCACTGAGGATACAGGGATTTGTCAGACAGTTAAAAAGAAAACTATTCTCCTTCTAAAGAACAGTCTCCATTATTCCATTTCAGAATAAACAATAGAAGTCCAGAGAGTAGTTATATTCCTATTTCCTTGTAAAGGACTCGTGAAAATGAACGTAGCTCATTATGTTAAAGATCACCTTTCTTGTGTTTAACTCTTGTTGCCAGCCAAACTCAAACGGCTCTACCTGAGCACCTGTGTTTTAAAAATATCTATACAAATAGCAGTTGTTATTATTTAAAAAAAAAAAAAAAAAGTGTGGGTGTGGTTTTATAGGCTTCCCAAGAATCCTGCTTAAAATCACCAGACCTATGCAGTCAGCTATTCTGATGTCCTCTTCCATGAGAACAGAACACGTTACAGAGGTGTGTGATCCTTTGCCAATGTATACCCAGTACATTTTCAGTTTTTTTCTCATTGTGCAGAACGGTATTGATTCCTTAGGTGACAAGTTTGTCCCTTACCTTTCAGGGATACAACTCATCCCAGGAGTACATCGCCACCCAGGGGCCGCTGCCTGAAACCAGAAATGACTTTTGGAAGATGGTCCTACAACAGAAGTCTCAGATTATTGTCATGCTCACTCAGTGCAATGAGAAAAGGAGGGTAAGTGCTCACGGGCTGTCCCCACTCAGCAGCAAAACCTGCACCAGCCACTGCCACGAGTTCAGTGCTCACCGTGCACCAGAATCGGTCCTCGCGTCATGTCTCACCTCACAGTGGTCACCCACAGCTCCTCAGACACAAGCACTTCTGTTTCCCTACGGGAGCACAGACTCCATTCCTTCCCCAGCGTGTCTGTTTGAAGATGCTGTGTTATTTCCACGCCAGGTGAAATGTGACCATTACTGGCCGTTCACGGAGGAACCCATAGCTTACGGAGACATCACGGTGGAGATGATCTCAGAGGAGGAGCAGGATGACTGGGCCTGCAGACATTTCCGGATCATCTACGTAAGTCACCAAGCACAGTTCGGGTGCTGTCCCCAGGCGGAGGGAGCCCCCACGTGTCGGGAGACACCCTCATACAAGATCATGAGCACATTAGGCTTTGCAACACTGCTTCCTTCGAGAGAAGAAGCCCCCTTTTCGTGTTCCTCATTTCATGGAGAAGGGCGGGTACGAAGTGGCTGGAGGGCCCCCAGAGACAGAAAGAAAGACTGCCCTGTTCCATCACAGGTTAGCCCAGTGCGAGAGCCATTGCTCGCCAGGCCTGACCGAGGAGGGTCGTGCTGTCATTACTTACACTAACCATGTATGGATATGATTAGGATACAGGGCACACTTCCATTTTAAATTAACCACTTAAATCATGATTTAGTAGTCTGGGTTTTGTTTGGCTTTTTTCCTTATTTTGTTCTGCTTTGTTTTTGGTGATTCATCATAATTCCACGTGTCTTTGGAAACGCTATTGATTTCTGAGTGTTAGGATGTCAGAACTGTGTCCTTCTCCCGTCTCCTCTCTGAGGACAGGCTTGGGGCACAGGTAGAATGTGTGCCCGGCGAGGAGGCGACATCGTCCACAGCTGCCCCACTGTATTCTCCTCGCACAGCCCAAATGATGGGAGGGCGCTTTCTCTAGTATTCTCCACTTGAACATGCTCTCTGCTGAGAACAAGTCTAACAGTAAAGTCCTCATTCAAAATGTGTTGCTTAGAAACAACCCTTTTTAACAGTCAGTGAGCATATTGACCGCTGTCTGTTTTGTAAAGCCTATGAGCCAAGAATGAGTTTTATATTTTTTAAATGCTTGCAAAAAAGTCAAACTAAGAATGATATTTCACATGCAGTACTACAAGAAAATTATATAATCAAATGTCGGTGTCCATCGATATACCATTTTATTGCAACACAGCTACACCTGTGTCCACGTACCGTCTGCAGCTGCTCTGTGCCGCGTCTAGCTGGAGCAGTCCAGAGACGTAGGACCTGCAAAACCTAAAATAGTTCTTTTTTTTTTTATCCTCACCCGAGGACACTTTTCCATTTTTTGTTCAGGTAGAGTGGGAGGGAGAGAGAGGAACAGAGAGAGAGAGAGAAACATCGATGTGAAAGGGACACATCGAGTGGCTTCCACCCACACGACCCAACCAGGGCCGGGGACAAACTGCAACCGAGGTACATGCCCTCAGCGAGAACCGAACCCGGGTCTCTCTGGACCGCAGGCCGACGCTCTAACCGCTGAGCCAAACCGGCCAGGGCTAAAATAGTTCTTATTGGCCCTGCCCAGACAGTGTTTGTGCACCCTTAACCTAGACCATGGAACTAAAGAGTGTCCACGTCAATACAACATATGCATTCATTAACTACCCATTTATTGATATTTACAAGAGATATATTATTTCTGAACTGCTGGTAGTTACCAATCGTTTGGCTACACTGAGGATTGAGGCAAATCCCTGTACAGCTAGAAGAGACTGTACTACATGCTGCCCCCTTCCTTTGAAATGTTCATTTCCTCCTGCTCCCTAAGCACATTCCTACTCAGTTTCAACTCCAGTGTCACTCCCTTGGTTCACCTTCCCTGGTCTCAGGAGACCTTCATCCCTTTCCTCTCCTGCTCTAGTCTCGTGGCTATTCCTCCACCACAGCACACCACCGAGTGTCAATTCTCTCACTTCGTGTCTGCTCCTTCCAGTGTGAGTTTTGGAAGCAAGTATCCTGTTTTAATAATTCTTGTAATCCCAACGTTTAGCCATTAATAAACCTATGTGGAATGAATACAGCAGTGAATAAATGAATGATTTCAAAAATAATAAAACGCTTGGAAAGCATCAGCAAAAATATTTGACAATCTGAATGCAATTTCAGCGGGAAAGCTGTTGGAAACTTTTGGATAAGTATAGAACAAATCTTTCCCTAGGTTTGCATCTTGGAGAACAAAATATTGTAGAGCACAATATAGGGTCTGTTTTTCCACTGGAAGAATGACACAGGTCACTGCACGACCAATACTATGCTTCTTGTCCTTGGTCCTAAATGATGACCTCTCAACGACAAGCATTTCAGTGAAGGGCTTGAAACAAAGGAATAAAATGTTGAATAATAATGTTTCCTGGTAAAGGGTTCATACTGTAGTTACAAGTATTAGGTCCTTAAGTGCCCCTTTTTGGCCGTAAACAGACAGAATCTAAATTTTAAGGTAACCAACGTTGTGCTGTGCTGATGAATACAGTTTTCTATTTGTTTCTACCCTTCTTTATTCCCTCTGTAATGATATGTAGACACTTTTATTGTATAACAAGGTAAAATTACATAAATGAAGAAATCAGGGTAAGAGACATTTTGGAAAGCCTAAATAAGATGTAACCAGAAGGAAGAAAATGACCATAATTCAAAATTTGTCGCTTTCCACTACTTGAAACTTGGCATGAACTGAGTAAGAATTGGAGGGGGGGGGGGAAACAACAACAACAACAAAAAAAAAAAACACAGCAAAAATGCCTTTGTTCCCTTGGCGTGTGCCCTGCGGTTCAGCCGCCACAGATCAGCCAGATACCGAGTCCTCTGCCTTGCAGCTACCAGACTGACTGAACTGTTTCCTATTTTTTTGAAGCATTTTGAATATTTTAGCAGGATACATTTTCAGACCAATTGTTATATATATCTCCAACACTGTTCAAATCTTTGTGCCATCAGCATTTGAAAAAAAGGAGCTTTTTTTATGAATTTTCTGGGCAACCAAAAATATCTAGTGATTGAGTATCCTTAAATCCTCATGGTGTTGAGTAACTGAGTCATTCTGCACAATTCATCATGCTTAGGTTACTTTGTTGCCATACTTACTGTAGACAGCAGTGATGGTAGCCAGCATTTTGCAAACTTCAGGCTCCATGTGTCCACGAAAGAGCCCGCAGTGAGGGAGGCACTGGGTAGGGCTGGGGAGGTATGGCCTTAGGTGCCGAGGGGACAATGGGTCTAGTTGAAGTGCTGACTTACTTATATTTCTATGAGCCTCACTATATATTTGTTTATATACTTCATGTATACATTTGCCTATACTTAGACAAATTTTACTTCACTCAAGACCACCGACTCTTTAGAATTCATTTATCTTTCATTCCTGAACCTAAACTTTAACTCCAAACTAATGGCCAGGCTAAACTCTTCCAAACTATAATAGAGCATTTCACCCACTGAGTGGATTCTTAGCTCTTACCAAGTTGGAAGGAAGGGACATGAATTAGAACCTTGTGAGTCCTGGGTTTACAATACTGGCCACAAGAGCAGAATCGATCTGTATGCGTACAAGTTAGTAGGGATGAAAAGAGTGAATCTTGAAGGATCTACATGCTAACTGATATTTACTCAGTTCAGCGGGAACAATACTATAGTTGATTTATATAGTTAATATGAATAGGATAAGTATACAAAACATACCCTCATACTAGGACTCCCAGAACCAACCATATAACTGCTCTGAGCTGGATGGGGTGAGGGGCAGTAATGATGTAGTAGTGGTGATGATGTTAAATAATAGTAGCTAACAGACACCATCTTTCACAAACAGAGCACACTTCATCCCCAAAACAACCCTTGTTATAGGTCAGGTTATCCTACAGCATGTGAAAAGACCCTTTTTAGATATGAGAAAATTGGTGTTCAGTGAGTTTGCCTTAGATCAGGTCCCGTAGTGTGAGAGCCCAAGACAGGGATTGTGAAACAGGCGATTTCTTTGAAAGTGTAATCTTGGGGAAATTCTGTAAGGGAACGAGGATAGGCCAGAACAGGGAAGAGACCACACACAGCTACGGGTACAGCTGAAGTCCAGCATCATTCAAGTCCCAGGGAGGGTGCTGGGGTGTCAATGGCACCATAGACTCAGTTGTCCCACTGCCATATGCGGCTGGCATTTTGTACCCCATTTTCAGTCACTGGTCAGCTGCAAATGCCCGGAGCAGGAGAACGCAAGCTCTTAGGCGTTTTCAGCAACTGTGAGAAGGGTGCAGCTGCATGCTGCTGGCAGCAGCTAGAAGGGGGACCCAAGGGGGCACCAACAGCATCTTCCACCGTGTTTAATTCGCTGGCCAAAGCGAGTGCACTTGCTAAATAGCAAAAGTTAGGATGCAAACCCTAATCTGCTTAAGCTCTTATCTCTACGCAGGCATGGATCAGCCTATTTATCTTACAATTGGAAGCTTTATACAGTTAGTATTTTTTTCCAGGGCCTGCTTTGTGCTGGACACAATGCTCAGAGCTGGAAAGGGAAGTGTAAAGACCAGGCGTGGAACGGGGCTTTGCCTTCGTATGCCGTTCATGCCGGAGCTGCAGCGGACGCCTGGGCCCTTCTGCCACGGCACAGAGACTGATGCTTGCTTTGGCTTCTTCTCCTACAGGCTGATGAGGTGCAGGATGTGATGCATTTTAACTACACTGCATGGCCTGATCACGGTGTGCCCACAGCAAACGCTGCAGAAAGCATCCTGCAGTTTGTACGCGTGGTCCGACAGCAGGCTGCGGGGAGCAGAGGCCCCATGATCGTGCACTGCAGGTAACTTCACCAAATGCGTTTTCCGTTAAGCACACAGGCTTGGTTTTATAAAGAAAAGAGCCAACCAGTCCATAAACTCCTGATCAGATTGAATGAATAAAATGAATTATGATTTTTTTTTAATTTATGATTAACTGAGGTCTTACTAGATACATTTTTTTACTTATAATATGGCTATCTTACATCTTATAAGATAGATATTATTAGTCTCCTTTTAAGACCAAAAAAAAAAAAAAACCACACACAAAACAAAACTGAGGACAAGCTCATGCCACTCAAACATGAAGTTAGGGTTCAAACCCAGGCAAGCCAGTCTCCATGCTATGCCTTTAAACACGGTGTGATATTACCCTATTCTGTCAAGGACTCTGAGTAGTTTATAACACAGCCAGATGCAAGGCCAAATTAAAAATAATTAACCACAGCCTAGAATAATATAAACAAACATAAAAACCAGGTGAGGGAAAGGAGAAATGAGAATGTTCAGCTCATTGAGGTAAACATAATTGTTATGATTGCTTTTCAAGACTGTCTTTAGTTAAATTCCAGATAGTTAAAATGAAAGGGGGTATTATGACCTATTGCATTATTGAAAATTGAGGACCGCACTGATTCCTTATGGGAAGAGTTATGTTTGAACTGAAGCTTTCTTTCCTACCAAGGGAACAAAGCTCCATCAAAATCCATAGGTGTGACATATTGTTGTAAAATGCCTATGCCATCTCTGAAGAGTAGGGGGTATAAAAATGCCCCTATTGTGTATCAGAGCTAGAAGTAAGATAAAGATGTTGGGGGGGGCATAGGCAGCCATGTCAGCCTAAGCAAATAGAGCTGTAATTTGGATCTAGCTAGAACCTGGGCCTCTGTGAACTAGAATGACTAAGGTGTGTGTGTGTGTGTGTGTGTGTGTGTGTGTGTGCGCGCGCGCGCGCGTGTGAGAGAGAGAGAGAGAGAGAGAGAGAGAGAGAGAGAGAGAGAGAATGTGTCTCCCTGGAAAGAAAAATGCTTTGTCAGTTATCGAGTTTATAATCAAAGAGGGTATCCTTGCTGTTGGTCCACCTTACACATTCACAGGTTAAAAACTTCCCTTCACCAAATGAAATTATCTAGTTTCACAATGGTTCCTTCCACAAACTGAACAGAAAGCTGCTCAGCCATGTGGTCAAACTCACAGTTCCTTTCACAGCAGGTAGCAGGTGCAGTTCTGGATGTGACTTTCCAGGTGTTCACCCAGGGGCAGAACATCTGACCTGAAAAGATAAGTCCTAGGAGGGAAGGCTTGTCCAGCACGGAAAGCAAACCAGGGCTCTGAACTCCAGGCTTTTACTGGTGGATTTCTCTCCCAGCCAATTCTGGGTAGAAATTAGTTTTGACTTCCTCTTTTCTCACATTTCATCGTACTTCAGAGTTTGGCATCACTTGACCCTTCAGTCTGAGCGACTGGATGAAAGGAAGAGCTGACTTTAACTTGCAGAACTGTGATGGGCAACTGGTCAGCGCAAATCACTCCACTTCCCTCTGCTCCCTCTGAGCTGGAGGAGGCAGGCTCTACATTTTAAATCTGATTTTTAGGCAACTACATAGAAGATGCCTGAAAGACTGATGCAGGCCTAGAACTCACTAGAAGGGAGATGTGCTGTGAGGAAGGTCTGGACTGGTGACCTCAACCAAAGGTTGAAAGGCACACACATTGGTCTGGCCCCAAGCTGGAGCTAAGGTGTGGGCACCTCAACTAGACTTCTGAGCTGGTTGTGCCGGCTGAACTCTGAGGCTACTCAGAAAGCTGGAATTGTTTATGTGTCTGGCTCCCCCAAAGGCAGGAACCAACTCTCTAGCCAGATCTGCATGCAATTATTACTTTTCTCAGATGCAGAGAGCCCAGGCAGGGGAGAGAAGTGTGGTCGAGGCAGTGCAGACCGGTACCTTTTTGACCACAGTAGCAGTGACAGTCAGAAACGTGATATTAGAAGACACACCAACCACAATTGCATGGTTAAAAATCTGCCCGCCCGTGTGGTTCAGTAGATTGAGATTCTGGGTCAGGGCACACGTCCAGGTTGCAGGCTCCATCCCCAGTAGGGGGCGCGCAGGAGGCAGCCGATCAATGTATCTGTCGCATGGATGTTTCTATCTCTCTTTCCTTTCTTATTTCTTTAAAAAAAAATCAATAAAAACAGTTTTCAAAAAATAGGTTAAGTGGAAAATACTGCCAGGAGTTTAGTCTTCCCTTTTCTCGGTGGTGTTACCTGCGTGGTTGTTTAATCGCCGGATGTTGTCAGCCGTGCAGAAGCACGTCTGAGTAAAGTGCTGTCTGACACTCTCGCAGCGCTGGCGTCGGCCGGACAGGAACCTTCATCGCCCTGGACAGGCTGTTGCAGCACATTCGGGAGCACGAGTTTGTGGACATCTTAGGGCTGGTGTCAGACATGAGGTCGTACCGGATGTCCATGGTTCAGACAGAGGTAGGCATGCAATCAACGTGCGCCTTTAAATTTGCCCTTGACTGCAGAAACTTCCCATTATTCCATCTCCTGTTTCAAAACAATTGTCTCGCTTTTTTTTTTTTTTTTTTTGGCATCTGCTATTCCTAGTTTCTTATTGTGCACAAACTGCCTGAAGGTATAAAAGAACTAGAAATCAGCTCCTAAAACTCCCTTCGGTGCACAGTGCTTGTACTTGTATCGGTGTTACATGCCCGTTAGGAGTTCAGAGCACAGGGTATATCTATAGTAGAACATAACCTCTTTGCACAGAGCGGGAGTTCAGGTCTGCCAATCTGGGTAAGTGCCACCAGGTGGAGACCGTGGAACTGATGTGATTCCGTTTATATTTGAAATGTTCGACTTGATTCAAAAGTTTTCATGAGTGTGTCTGCCATGTGGCTTTCTGTCTCAATTCACTTCAGATCACGATCATGGGTTGGATTTATGCTTTCTGTGCCCTTTATGATTTTTAAGGATTCCAGCCCCTAACCTACCAGCACTTCCTATTCCATCGACCTAAATGAATGGCTTTAGCGTTGTACCAGGTGGCAGCATCCCTCAAAACGTCCATCCCTCCTCCTCCTCCCAGGCCCCCTCCTCCCTTGAAGCCGCAGGATGCGCTCAGGCTGGAGTATAGCTCGGACGCGGCAGACAGCACCACACCACGCACAGCCACAGTGGGGTGCACCTGTGCCGGCCCCAAAACCTAAGCACAATAGCTTGTTCATAATCCTGGTCACCCAGCCACACCCGCAGCTTCTTAGCTTCCAGCGTACAGTAATCTCTCTTTTTTAAGGTGTTTGTGTGGGAGGAACAGAGTACAGTGGCCCTCGTTTATCGCGGGCAATACGTTCCAGACTCTGCGGCGATAAATGAATTTCCGCGAAGTAGGATTCGTAGACCGACACCTGGTCGGACCTCCTACTGAAGTTCCAAGGGGTTGAACACTGCCTGGGCCTCCTCGTGCTTTTCCGATGAAGCACCACTAGATGTCAGTATAGCTCAGAAGCCTGCGGTCATGGCTGCAGTCCCAAGGCTTCTGGGCTTTCCCCTTTGCTTTGGAATTTCTCCGCTGCCTCCCCATTCCCACCCGAGCCAGCCCTGGCACAGCCGTTCCAGTGTGTGTTTCTGAGCCGAAGCAGGATCATGCCACTGTGGAAAGGGGCCCATCCCATTCAGCTGTCCCACGGATGACTAGGAAGTACTCAGGTCCTGCTGTCTTGTCATTTTCCGCTGTGGGGACATGAACGTGACCCCGTTTAAAATGTGCTGATTTCCGCCCTGGCCGGTTTGGCTCAGCGGTTAGAGCGTCGGCCTGCGGCCCAGAGAGACCCAGGTTCGGTTCCCACTAAGGGCACGTACCTTGGTCGTGCGGGTGGCAGCCTCTCGATGTGTCCCTTTCACGTCGAAGTCTCTCTCTATCTCTCCCTCCCACTCTATCTGAACAAAAAATGGAAAAATGTCCTCTGGTAAGAATTAAAAATAAATAAGTAAAATGTCCTGGTTTCCCAGAGAGGCCCGCTACCTGATGATTAAACAGTGCTTTATGAATCGGTCCATATTTTTGGCTTTCACATTCATATATTTGCATCCTGATATGTGATTAAAATACCCCATTATGCATATTAATCCCCACGCTTCAAAGGGCCGCTCCTTATTTTAAGTAGTTTGGATTCGAAAAATTGTCTGCCACACTGACCTAATTGATACCTTTTATAACTTTATAGACTTTGATTATAGCCTGTTTGCTTTTGACTTTCCCAGTACAGAATCTTAATCGCTTTTTAAATACTAACTTCACATAGCAGCCCCCCCACCCAGTTCAGCAGGGTGATTTTCCTCAGGTGTGCTAATCACAGCCCCAGCCATGTGCCTCTCTGCAAAGCTGAGACAAGCTTTTCCTCCTAACTTCTTGCCCAAAACTTTGGTTGTTTGGCTTCTTTGTTTACCGCAGCATTTTAGGTAGACATCTCTAGGGAAACTGTCTTTTTAAAGTATGATCCCTTCCCTGAACTCTCATGGGAAAACTCAGAGTCAGTAAAAGAGGCGAGGTCACCAGAGCACATTTATTTTTCCCAACTGTCCCAGCTTCACTCTTGAGTTCCCTCAGAATTTTGCTCTGGGTCTACTCTAGTTCAAGTTTTTATGCATGTCAATAACATCTTGTGCATTTACCTTGGTTTTTCCTCGTTGTTATGCTCTTTGTGATACAACCTGCATTTTGAATGTTAGAATGTTCCCAACATCCTCCTTGAGCCCATTCATACCACAGTCCTGCTGCCTTCTACTTTACTGGTGTTAATAAGTAAAGAGCAGAGCAAGACATTCTTTTCTTCAGCGTTCTCCTCGTAGGGTGCACCTTTGACACTAGTGATTTTCAAGAGACCAGAATGATTCTCCAGCTGATTTCTGACTCTGTGAATGTATATCAACCACCTGTGTATTGTGTACCAGGCTTCTTCCCATGGCTGGTTTCTAATTTTCCAATTCCCTCGAGACTTCCCATCACCTGGATTCCACCACCCAGCCTGCTTCCAAAAATAGTGGGAACAGGTCATTCCTTCCAGTCCTCTGGCAAAAGCAAAAGGTGCACAGCCCCAGTCGGGGGTGGAGGGTGAGGTGCCGCCCTCTCCCCTAAAAATAAATAAATGAAGATAGTAGAAGTAACTGATCATGTTGGTCATGTCCTCAGATGCACACGTCAGGTTATTGCACCCTGTGGCATGGGCTGTTTTTTGGGGGGTTTTTTGTTTTTGTTTTTATCCTCACCCGAGGATATTTTTCCATTTTTTGTACAGATAGAGTGGGATGAGAGAGAGGAAGGGAGAGAGAGAGAGAAACATCGAAGTGAAGGGACACATCGAGTGACTGCCACCCGCACAACCAACCAGGGCCAGGGACAAACTGCAACCGGAGTACGTGCCCTTAGCGGGAACCAAACCCGGGTCTCTCCAGACCGCAGGTCGACGCTCTAACCACTGAGCAAACTGGCCAGGGCGCTTGGGCTGTTTTTAAGTTGCCCTCTTCCCCCTTCTCACTTGACCAGCCCCCATTATGGGCTTCTCCACAAGAGCAACAAGGGGTAAAGAAAGTAGGGTTATCAGGCCAGACCCCAGGGGAAGGCCTGGGTCCCAGCGTGGCCACTGCACAACTCAGTTTGTTTCTCTGAGCTCCCTTCCTCCTCTGGAAACCGTGAATGCCAACGTTCACGAATTGCTGTAAAATACACATTATGTAAAATGGAAAATCGAGTTAAGTGCTTTGTGTGGATGCCATTTGCCTCTCCAGGGCTTTCTTCTATTTTTATCAAATGTTTTGTTTAATTTTCCTTGAATAGGCTTTGCTGGAGGTCAGTTAGGGCTTTGCTTTGAGTAGCCCATCCTCCTGATCAGCAGCGTAGATTTCTCAGGTACTCTCAGGGACTTGTCCACAATTAGTATTTAGTTACTTTTCCTGTGATCTGGAGATATATATAATTTTCTGAGACTAAGTTTGGCCACTGAGTGATTCTAGGTTGAGAATCCAGGTGGCCTCTGCCTTATCGACGCCCAGTGCCGACACCGCTCTGGAAACGATGGAGTGATGTGTGACAAGGAGAAAGGTGACTCAGTTATTGATGAGATTCTATCACAAAATCAGGGCCTGTATGCTCCCTAAGTCTTATGGAAAAATACAGGTGAGGCTGAAGAATCAACCCAGGGAAGTTCAAAGAATTAACCTTATCCTTTGTATAAAGTTTTCATACAAAATGCTCCATAAGGTCCAATGAACATCTTGACTGGTTCTTATTTAAAGGTTATATTTAATGGTATTGCTTATAGACAAAGTCTTGGAAATAAAGAAAAAGAAGAAAGATCATGAAGTTATCTTGGTTTTATGGTACAAAGATTGTCGCTCTCCACAGTTGAGCATATCTCATCGTCCTTCCTTCAAGTGTAGCTTCCACACGATTTATACTCCTGAGCTCTGTCCATATGCTAATTTTACATTCTGATTTTTCATATTGCTATGTATATTATCCCAGATTGCCCAAAATTATATAAATTTCACTTTAAAGACTGAAAAACGTTTCAATATAGATATACCATTGATTACTTAAACCATGCTCCTTTTTATAGGATGTTAAATTGGATTGTTTCCCACTTCTTTAGCATTATCTGTTTTCAACATGCCATTTATTATTCCTCTATCTATATACCTCAACCAACCATAGCTAAAAACGACTGCTTCAACAAACTCAGGTCTTCGTTATTACTTTTTTCCTTTAGCTTTGCTCACTTTATAGATGAAAAACAATCATTTTGATTTACATCTTTGATTATTTGGCCATTTTTGCATGTTTTAATATTTTCTCAGTTGGTTTTTTTTATATAAAAGAACACTTAATAGGCATTAGGGATTTTTTGTTTTGTTTTGTTTTGTTTTCTTGTGGTACGTGCCCCTAGCGGGAACCGATCCCGGGACTCTCTGGTCCACAGGCCGACGCTCCAACCAACCACTGAGCCAAACTGGCCAGGGTGGCATTAGGGATTTTTTTAAAAAAATACCTCATGGTCTATGCCTTCCAGGAATATTTGGTTTAGTGGTCAATGTATTTATTTATATATTTGTCAACTTAAATGTGTTACTGTTTTGGATTAATTTTAAACAAAAATAATGGTATAAACATTGTCATATTCTAGAAAATATTGTCCCCTCCCATTTTTAGTTTGCTCTTTATTTTATTCTTTTCACTTTAAAAATATATATACAGTTGTCTGGCCAGTGTGGCTCAGTGGTTGAGCATTGACCCATGCACCAAGAGGTTGCTGGTTCGATTCCCAGTCAAGACACATGCCCAGGTTGTGGACCCAATCCCCAGTGGGGGGCATGCAGGAGGTGGCCAATCAATGTTCTCTCTCATTGATGTTTCTGTCTCTCTCTCCCTCTCCCTTCCTCCCTATCTAAAAGAAATAAAGGAATATATATACACACACATATACACACACAAGTAGATTGAAATTTTTATTTATGATTTATTCCATTGCTTTGAGGTTTAGTCCTTTCTTAAAGTAATCAGAGAAGAATTAACCTATATTGTCCTTTATATTTATTTGTTTGTTTTTTTAAATCCTCACCCGAGAATATTTTTCCATTTATCTTTGGATAGAGCAGGAGAGAGAGGGGGGCAGGGGGAGAAACATCGACATGAGAGAGGTACATTGACTGGTTGCCTCCAGCATGACCCCGGCCAGGGCTGGGGACTGAACTGCAACCCAAGTACATGCCCTTGACTGTAATCAAACCCTTAACTCTTTGGTCAGCAGGCTGATGCTCTAACTGCTGAGCCAAACCAGTAAGGGCTTCCTTTATATTTTTATGGCTTAATTTATTAAACTTCTTGGAATTTATTTTGGTGTATTAAGAGGTGATGAACTTTTTTTTTTTTTTTTCAAAATAGCCCATGATTTTTAGATTGACTATTCATTGCCTTTAGCATTAAGTATTGATGGTCTAAGCTCTATTATCATAAACATATGTTTACAGTTGATTCTTTTGGATTTTCTAGTTATAAAATTGCCTCCTAAACAGAAAATGGATTCCTTTGACATCAGGTCATGATATTTAATACTGTCATAGTACCAAAATATTATCTTTGTGTGTATTTCTGCAAAACTATCTTGCTCTGAAACGTGGCTTTGCCTTTTGCTCAGGAGCAGTACATTTTCATCCACCAGTGCGTGCAGCTGCTGTGGATGAAGAAGAAGCAGCAGTTCTGCATCAGTGATGTCATCTATGAGAACGTTAGCAAGTCCTAGTTCAGAGTCCGGAGCAGTAAGTAGGGAAGAGCCCCTCATGGGAGGGGATGTGATAAGATACAGCAAAAGGCGGCAGCAGCCTCTTGTCCTGACTCTAACCCCACAGAGGTGTCACTGGGATTTCACACAGGAAGAGACAAGTACTGCAGCAGGTCTTAGTACACCTTGGTTGGTAGGCATGACATGAAGGAGCTTCAGCAGCTCATGATGGCTTGACCTCCATTCCTTCCACCCTGAACTTTAAATTACTCTGATTTGGGCTCTGTGCCTGTAACATCAGGGTATTATCATCCACTCTATTTATCTGGACATTTTGTACAAATATTTTATGGATTACAAAGGGTCATAAGGGGATTACAATGGGCCATAAAGGGATTACAAAGAAGACACGAGCTGGAGTTAACGTCCAAAGAAGAACACATTGCCAGTAGTTCAGGACAGCAGAGTTTAGAAAGGCTTTGATCTTATCCATTCTAAGCAGTTACTTTAGAACTTCCTGAATACACTAGTAACAAATTCAATGTCATCTGCTCAAATTTGGACTAGAAGATCCGATTTCAGTCATGTAATTCGTCTTGGCTGAAGTAACAAGGAATTCGCCCATTCAACTCAGGAAGCAGAGTGTGGACTGTGTCTGAATGTACTGAGGGGCAGGACCATGGACAGGGTGGAGGAGGACAGGGTGCATTGTGGGAGAACTAGGGAAGAAGTAGCATATGGACTGGTGGGTAGCAGGATAGGACTGATATCATGTCTTTACCTCCATCAAGAAAGAGAGACAGAAAGCACAAGGAGGCAGGAATGATAACGAATAAGGAAAGAGAGAGAGAGAAGTTTGCAGGTGGAGAGGAAGACATTCGGATCCACAGAAAGTAGGAATTACATGCAGAAAGATGCACAGATAAACCACGTCCACTTGGGCTGTGGGGTGAATGTAATGGGAACAAGTGGTGGGGCCAGAGGAAGGTGCTGTGTTTCCAGCTGTGGGATGTTGATGTGAGGCTTTGCCTCCCAGGCTGCTTACTGTTTCTCTCTCTCGTTCACAGGACAGGACACGGTGTGTACCCATCCTCCCTTGCTTCCAGAGTTTTGTTTTTTTTTGGGGGGGGGGGGTGTCCTGCTAGCCATTTTGCTAAAAGGAGCCCCTGCTTTGTAACATGTGGCCAAGGAGATAATTTTTCTCATAGAAGCACCGGGAAGACTTAGCCTTAAAGAGCCTACAGTGTCTTTTGGACTCTTTCTCTTCTGGACACTTAATAAGGAGCCAGCTTCCACTGAACACCGAAAGATCCAGGCGCTCTGCCAGGGCAGGAAGCACAGCCCCTTCCGAAGACTTTCACTGCCCTTTGCTGCTCGGGCTGAGTTGTTTGTCCCTGTTTCTAAGTGCAATAATTTTTGTACGTGTGTGATCTTATCAGAAAGTTGAATTGTTTTCTGCTCACACCGTTGATCAAGCCCATAGTCCAGGAAGGAATAGGCATTGTTAGTCTAAAATTATACCTCATTGTTAAAAAGAGGCATGGCCACATATAAAGAAAGAGTAATTCTACTTCAAGAAAACTGAACCAGCGCTACCTGCACTTCAACATTAAGCTACTGGGTCAGGAGCCGGAAGGGTGGATGGGGGAAGAGAGAGAGGTTCTACCCAGAGATCAGTCACCTATCTTTTCCAAATATTAAAAGCTGTAATTCAGCTCCAAAGTAGAGTAGAAAAAAAAATATTTAATTCTTAATTGTTCTAGTTCTTGACGATTTTCTTTCGTGTTAACAGTTAAGCGTTTCTTCCTTGGTCCTCTTAGACTAATGTCACCATCCAGGTTCTTGTCCAACAAATCATATCTAATTCGAAGAGGTGGAAGTCTGGGTCTCCAGACCCCATTGCTGTCTGAGCAATCTTGGCGCCTAGACTTTGCGTTCTGTTCCTGTTGACCTGCATACATGGGAAGCAGTTTCTGTGAGAACTGTATAGGATGTAAAAACACACTTTCTTTCCCCAAAACAGCTGGGAATTTATGACGTTATGGCAATGTGCTGCAGCATGCTAGGACAATTATTTGACTACCTTTTTTTTTTATATATTGTCAAGTGTCACTATGAATTTTGACAGAGATTTCTTCTTTTCTTTGGTTGTCAGTTTCAGTTTAACGAGTGTAACTAGTAACATTCTATCCCATTCTTTAGATTTTGTATAATTACAGTACATGATTGTTGTGACATGAATGCTGTCAGAGTGGACATCGATGGCATCCTGAAGCCTGTTACTTTGTGTCCCTTCCAAGGAATAAGGGGTGATGGTGTGGATGTGCAGAGGAAGTCTTTACAAGCAGAGAGTAAATACAAGCTGGCTTCCGTGTGGCCGCGTGGCTGTCATGAGCCTGCCTGCGTGGGCTTCGGGAGGCTCTGCTCCTCTCTGTGTATCGGATCATTGCCCCTCGCCCTGGCCTCCCTCCAATCCTGATCATCTGCATGAAGCCATGTACATAAGATCAGTTTAATATTTTATCAGTGACCTTAGCAATGGTGAAGGATGCCAAGTGAACAGCTCTGCACCCCATTGTCTTGTCACTGAGAAGACCTGGCCACAGCAGACCTTGGCGCAGTTCTTGGCAAGTCCTGGCCAGCTAGGTGCAGGCTCACCTTGCAGGGGGAATGGCAGGGGGTGCCCACAGCCGGCGGGCTAACAGCTTAGGCTCCTGAGGCTGGTCGTCATACTCACCTCCCTTCCTCCCCTTCTGGCCTCTCTGCTGCCACCTCCTCTTCTCTCTCACCCCTTGATTTCCCTCTCGGACATGTTAATAATGTATCGCTCCGTTCTCAGGTACACACGCAGCTAAAGAAAGGTGGCAAATGTACGTGTGACACCCTTAGATTTTCACACAGGGACAGGTCAGGAGGGAAGTGTGCAACCTTGGATGAGCCGATAAGATGCATGGGTGTGCCGGAATACATTTCCAATTCGTAGACGGGAACATTACTTCCCCTGAAACTTAGAGGACTTCATAAATATTTCATGTTTTTCTTGAGCACCCATGCAGGGGAGGGATCAAATAGTACCAGATCAATTTTCCCAAAAGAGGAGATGAAATATCCAGACTTAAGACTGCAAGTTTAGAGCACAGGAGGGTCACACTGCAGCCCTTTCCCAGGTCTTCCCTCCGGGGTCTCCCTGCTCAGGCTCCTGCGCTGTCCCTGCACGGGCACCTGCAGCCTCTCCATCTGTGAGCTGATGGTGGGAGAATCATCGGCTGCCAAAGACTTGAGTTTTAATCTTGACGGATGACTTTGGAACTTCCCTCTCCTGAGTCTCAGTCAATAAACTTTTGAAAAACGTAAGAACCAGCTCTGTATTTTGAGGGTGTAAGGAGTGTCAGATATAATCATTCCCCCAAAGGTGTTCTGTGCCTTATTCTTTCATGGACCCTAAGGCCACTCTAACCAGCACAATGTCCACCTGGGACATGATTTTAAGCGTTCAGAGAGGAGGCTGCCTGGGCCTCTGTATTATTCATTCATTTTTTTTGTTTGTTTTGTTTTGTTTTTATCCTCACCCGAAGACATTTTCGCATTTATTTTCAGATAGAGCAGGAGGGAGGGAGGGAAGGAGGGAGGGAGGGAGGAAGAGAGAGAGAGAGAGAGAGAGAGAGAGAGAGAGAGAGAGAGAGAGAAACATCGACGTGAGACAGACACATCGAGTGCCTGCCACCCACACAACCCCAACCGGGGCCGGGACAAACCCCAGCCAAGTTACGTGCCCTTAACGGGAACCGAACCGGGACTCTCTGGTTTGTGGGCTAACGCTCTAACCACTGAGCCAAATGGGCTCATTCATTCATTCATTTTTATAAGCATCTCAGTGCTGTTTTTACTGAACACAGAGACATTAACACACACAGTTCACATGGAGCGGAGCCAATCTCTGAAGTTAGTTGAAAAACTATCATGAGGGTCTGATTTATACATTTAATATTGAACATCAATATATCCACACTGCATGATTTTATTTAACTGGAAAGGGAAAGAAAGCGGTAGATGACAGCATTTATTTTGGACAGCATTCTCATTCAGGGTTTGCAATTTTCCACTACAAAGTCAACATTGCCCCTACCCCCTAAATTTAAAATTAGAAAAGTTAGTAATGTTTTTTTAAAATCTCATAAAACTTATTTAACCTCCTTTAAAAATGTTAATGTCTCTCTTTCTTTAAAAGCCACCCATGCCCCTCAAAAGATGTGAACCTCTGAAGAAGACTGTGGTGTTACCATGTAAAGTGGGGGCTGGAGGCTTTGGATCTGACTTTTTTGCAGACCATATGATAGCTGCTTGCTGGAAGGTTGGACCTTAGCCAAGGAGTTCAGGTTACTGAATCCAATCTCTAAGAGCCAAAATCCGCCTGCTTTCTAGCAAGGAGGCCTTCCTCTCCACCTCGGGAAACGTCTGATGTAATGTGCCTCAAATGAGCTGGCTCGTGTCCTAGCTCACAGGTCGCTAATCTGGTGCTTGGCGTGGGCTCAGAGTCCGGAGGCCATACCCAGGGCTCAACACAACATCCACTTTGGCCAAAGGGGTTACAAAGCAACAAAAACACAACACATGCAGACACTGCAAACTTCTGCCCCTGGTTTTGCAACAGCCCCATTTGGATTCATTTGAAGAAGACTTAGGCCACGATGTCTCTGATGCCTGGCCTTCCAGAACAGCAGGACTTTTATTTTCAGTTTCAGCTGATGCTCATACAAGGCCTGATCCTGGTGCGTCACTCGACTAAGATGAAGTATGATGTTTAGCTCTGGGAGTTGTATTACAGGAGGGACATGAACACACTGAAGGCTGTCCAGGACAGGGTCATGAGAACCATCAGGGATGTTGAGAACAACAGGTCATGGTGACAACACATGGGGTGTTAAGCCTGAGTAAAGGAAATCATTCAGTCAGTCATTCATTGTACAAATGTGTGTTTACCTAATCATGTTGAATGAATGAATCACTCTGTCAATGAAAGGGTTCTTCACCACTTGCAATATGCTAGGCACTATTAAGTACAAATGGTGCAATGTGTCAATTTTTAAAAACATGTTAAGGAATCTGAGTTTCATTTTTGTTTTTGGAAGGACCAAAAAAAAAACCCCCCAAAACCAAAAAAAACAACCTAGTCTTTTTCAAGCCTTGGTACCTCTTCTTTGGTGAGATATTCCAAGCTAGCCTACCGTCTTGCTCAAAACAGGACCCCCTCAAACACACCCCTGGCAGGTGGCTAATTCTTTCCTATCAAACACTTCCAGTGTGTGGAATTGCCACCGCACAGGGCAGCCTGTCCCTTAATTTGCCAGAAGCATTGCCTTCCATTTGCACAGCCAAGGACCCTGCACAAAGGCTGTATGAGTCTGCTTCTCATCGACACAGGCTGAAGCCCAAACCCACGTCCCCGTTTCGGTGAAAGGGCGGGTGCGGTGAGCGTGCCACTACTGGACATGACGTTTAATAATTAAATTAGAGCTGCCCAGAGCTTTAACAGAGGCCAGGTGTTTCTTTTAGGCAATTACACCTGACTCCAGGGCAGTACTGGTGGTTTTGGTTTTAATACACTAAACTCTTTATATGCTTATTCTCTTAATGTCTCGAGAGCACCCATCTAATAGGCAAGGAAGAAGGAATAGAGAAGCTGTTCACTTTGAGTAACTTACACAACTACTGGGGATTCCAACACAGCTCTGTCTAGCCCCCAAAATTCCTTTTCCCCCACCACTCCATGCTGCTTCTCATTCATAGTTATCATTGAATCACTAAAATAGAATAGAAGCAATGGCTTCATTTTAGGCAATGTGTTTAATAGAGGGTGATTTCCAGTGCGAGAAATTTACATTTGTAACCCTCTGAGAAAATAATTTTACTTAACATCCCATGTCAGGGGCGGTAGGGGGACCGAGGCACAGAGACGGATGAGGACAGGGTTGCCTCCTCAAGGCGTTGACATCCCAGTAGGGGAAATCGGAAGTGGAAGTACAGGCGAGTTTTACAGATGCTGTGACAGAAATACACAAAGCATCCAATGTAGGCGCATGAGCAGGGCAGGTGGGGTTTTTCTGGAAGTCCCAGGAGAGACTATTCTGCCGCATTAAAGTACTAAAGGCTACAAAGCCACATTAAAGCGTACTAGCAATGCACACTCATTCCTGCACCAGCAAACACTCATCAAACACCTCCTGCCTCAGTCACTGGGGCCGTGTGGGTGACCAAACCTTCCTTCGGCCCTGCCTTCTGAAGCTTTTCATCTGGGCTGACTCCAAAGTGACAACGTCTTGCCAGGCCTCCCCAGATGCTCATGTGTTGCTCAGCAGAACCCACTGGATTCACTGTTGCTGCAAATGTAGCAGCACACATTGGGGCTACATTTCCCAGCCACCTGCAGTTACTTCTGGAAAATGGAGGGGAGGCAGGAGTAGGACTCCATACCCTGTGCCTGGTCCCTGAAAATCACCCAGAAGCATCCTTTTCATTTCTCTCCCTCTCCTCCCACCTCTGATAGAGAAGGTGGTCCCAGAAAGACGGAAGGAGCCTGGGTCCCTAAATCACCACCTGGACGGGCCCATGATGTGATCAAGTAACAAATTCCTGTCGTGTTGATGCCGAGATTTCGGCATTGTCTGCTACGGTCATCAACCTGCCCTTCACCTTTATAACCATGTTCGGTCTCAGGTACAGTGGAAGTTTTGTGACCATCCAATCCAATTCCCAGACAACAGGTGAAACATGGAACAGATCAGAGCAAGGTCAACCCATAATACAAACAAGGACACGGGAAAAGGCCACAGAACAATGATGGTTCTTTTAATAAAGTTTTCTATTAAAATCTATGCGTTCTTCTCCAGAAGTGGATTCCCTCCAAGTTAGATCTCTCCTCCTTTTTTCTTGTCTCTTTCCAAACCCCATAACATGACCATTACTTAAGAAACTCACTAGAATTTTTTAGACTTATGCAAGGCTATTGGCTCTGACTCAGAGTCCTGGATTCCTGTGAACAATAGGCCCCACAGTGGTTTTACATTAATAAAAGCCCAACACACAGGAGGCCAAGAGGCTTGGCATGTGGATGATGCTGAGCAAGCCAGACCTTTGGCTTGTGTGTGTCACAGTGAGTTCTAGGGCAGTGGATAGGAGTTCAAAGCCAGCTCACCCAAAATAGTTTTGTGCAGGTCTGAGAACACCACAGAGTCCAAAAGGCTGTTTCAACTAGGAACACTTAATTGCAACCACTACAAATACAGAACAGAATGGTCTTGGGAGGTTCCTTTATGTTCAAAACCAAACCAGATCACATACTCCCTTAACCAATGAACCAGGCCAGAAGTACGGCACAAGGCCCAACACA